ATTCGCTCATTGCGTCATCATCATGCTCGTGGTAGATAGTCTCGGCTTCATCCGGTTCGACCTGGTCAACGTCCTTCTTGAAGCTGACCTTTCCCGCAGGAGCCGATTGCTTCAAGACTATCGCAGGCATCGCGATGGCCCTTCTTGCAATAGCTGGCGCTGCGGCCTTGGCGGCAGCCTTCGACTTGGCTTGTCCCTTGTCGCTTGACGTTGCCGGAGCTGAATTGTTCTTGATGAGCTCGTGCCTATACTTGCAAGCACTCCCCTTGTCGCATTTTCCTTTCTGAAACGCGAAACATGCCCCATCATCCCTCTTTGGTGACGATGATCTGGATTTGGACTTACCTTTACCTTTCCCTTTGGACATGTTCTCCAGCTTGTGCTCCGTCTTCCTGCTGTGGGAAAAGTTGCATTCATTCCCTTTTACGCACCCCTTCGCTGACTTGAAGTGGTACCAACATGGGTTATCTTTACCTCCACCCGGACTCTTGCCTCTGTCGCTGGCACCATCGGACTTGCCGTTCTTGCCAGCGTGACCCTTTGCCTTGGCCTTTGGGAGTACAGGAGCAGCATCAGGTCCACTAGATTTCCCCTTCCTGCCTTTGCCACCCTGGTTCTCCTGTTTGCCAGTGGCCGGGGCTGCATCTCTGCCGCCCGACTTCATCATCGACTTGACCGATTTCTCCTTCATGTCAAGCATCAGGTCCTCCCGATCCGCCTTGATCTGATGGTCGATCAATGCCAACAAGAATTCGTACGTCTTTTGAGGATGCTTGTCCGTGGTAGGCGTTGAGGCCGAACTCCATCTTCTTGCTCCCCTTGATTTTCCTGTAAAGGATATCTCTGAGAGCCAACTTGCTGGGTCTGTCTTCGCTCCTCATCTTTAGCAACAAATCATACCACTTGTTCCTGAATATAACCAAGTTCTTGTCTCCAGGAAAGTCAAGGTTGAATAGGTGCTCGATGTGGTAGACAAGATCCGTTCTATCGGATGTTCTGAATGATTGCATAACCAATGCCACCAACTCTCGTCCCTTCACGATCACCCCTTGTTGATGTCGTAGTTCCGAATGTCGCGTAGCGTCGAGGTACACGTCTTTGGCTTCGTCAGGTGCTTGTTTCAACATGTTCTGCATGCCCATGGCCATTTTGATATCTATCGTAGCGAAATCTGTCGCCGCCGGAGTCGCTCAGCAGATTTAGGTCTGGGTTTAACCCAAGAGCCTGTTCCAACCATTTCGTCCATGTGTCAGTATCTGGATCTGCGCATGCGCTCAGAACATTCATCAGCAGTTGCATCTTCCAGTTATCGAGTTGATGGATCTTTGGCCAAGCAGGAATAGACACCCTCTCGGCTTCTTTCCTCGAAATCCTCGGTCTTTCGTTCTTGATTTCTCGATCATCCCTCGATCTTCTGCGCCTCCTCCGTGTCCGATTGTCATCTTCTTCCTCTTCTTCTTCCTCGTCCTCTTCGTCCTCTTCGTCGTCGTCATCCTCGTCCTCATCATCGGGTGGATCATCCGGAGGTCCTCCTCCGCCACCTGTGAGGCTCAACTGACGTCGACCTGCCCCTTGTCTATTTCCATTGGGCGAGAATCCACCGTAATCCAATGGGGGTGTAGTACCGTTGTTTCCCCCTCCATCACCACTACCACCAGTTGTAGTAGCGGATTGTGGGACATGCCCAACAACCCCTTGCATCTGGGATAGGTGTACATCGATCATTGGATCACCAAAAGACGGAAAGAGAATCGAACCTGGCATTAGTGACGAATTAGGGATCAGATTCGATGATGATGACGGGAATAACCCAGTCACCCTCTTGTCTACCCTAGTCGAATTAGCTTGGGGTCCTCCCTCAGCGCGTTTCACTACTGCTCGTTCACGATGTCCATCTTTACTGCTAGAGGCTTCCTGTGTCTCCAGCTTCTTGAGTGCTCGTAGTTCCTCATTGTCAGCATCGAGTTGACGAACAAAACTCTCTTCTTGCTTGAGCGTCGCCTCCCGATCCTTCAGTTGTCCCTGAAGTTCATGCATCTCCTCGAGGTACTCATCATACACTCCCTTAGCTGTCAATCTCCAGTACTCGGCCTCCTTCGACTTCTCGTCCATCGTGCACCGCTCTTCTTGTTTTGCTTCTTTGACCTGGGCTAACTCCAAGATCGCATCTTGACGATGACCACCCTCGATAGCAATCATCTGGTCCTTCTTCGACACGTCGGATTCATACTGTTTGACGATCTCTTCCTTCTCGCGAAGTAAGCATTCTGCTCTCTTCGATTCTTGCTCCGCGAATGTTGTAACGTCGTTCAGTCTCGCCATCAGCTGTTCCCTGGAGTCCTCCATAGAGTACGTCTCGGGGCGCTTGACGAGTGCGTGCTCCAACTGTGATTTCAGACTTTGTACCATCTCCTCCTCGTTGAACTTCTCGATAGATGTAGACGATTCGATACCTCTGATCTGTTGCTGATAAACTGATATTTGTTGTGAAGCCTCACGGTGTATCTGATTTGCACGTATAGCTGATTCCTGCGCGGCCGACTTCTCGCTTGCCATGTAGGATTTCATCACTGCAATCTCCCGCTTCTGCTCCATAATAGTTCCTTCAGCTTGTCTCATCTGTTGTATTATAACATTCGACTCCATGTCTTTCTTTTCCCCGTACTGATATGCGTTCATTTCCACCTTGCGCATCTGTTGGGCTTCCTCCTCAAACTTGCGCCATGCCTCAGCCATGTGGTGTTGGTGGTGACTCACAAGATGTCCCGACTGCTTGCTGGCAATCTCGCATCGTCTCTCCAGCTCCTGGATCCGGATGGTGCTCCCATAGTCTTCTTGATGAAGATTCGCCATCGCTGCCGACATTTCGTCAAGTGTCTTTTGATATTCCCCGATCTCCATCTCCATCTTGTTCTTTTCTTTAATCGCGGCGCGAAACTCTGCACTGGTGGGTGATTTAGACCTCCCACCTTTTGATGTTGACCTCACGCCCTTCTGCGACGTCCGTGGTGTCGCAGGCGAAGATGATGATCTTCTCGGCGGGGATTCTCTTTGCTTCGACTCCTGACGAACATCGATCTGCTTCCATGATCTTGTGGGAGTGGATATGTCGCTGAATAGCGCGGATCCTCCGCTCCCAGGTTCATCCTGTGAATCTGCGATCAAATCCATCACCGCAGGAAGAGCCATCAATCCATTGGATCCCTCTGAGCTGCTGTTCCCAAAAGTTGCAGTACTTGGGCTCGCTGAAGATGCCATTGTACCGTGTAGGTTATTGTCCCTTTATTGTCCCTGTACCCGCAATAAACCAGCTGTCTCTCTGTCCAGTGTAGAGCTTGTCGATACGGCTGATAACCTGTCAAGAGACGGCAAGGTGACGTCCCGTGGGACGCCGTACACCGAACCCTCCAGCTGTAATACCAACCACGTAGAAAGGTGTATACGGTCAAACCGTTATAGCCGAACCCGTGCAAATGTTGTAAGGGAGAAGGAATAATAGTTACAACAGTGGTCCTGACAAATGCAGCGCAAGCGAAGTGTTTTCCGCTCTCAATTGCCGATCACGTATGAACGCAGCTACACATAAGATCTTGAACCTCACTTGTGACTTGAGCCAAATGGCAATCAATGGAACCTTGTAAGCAACACATACACGGACCTCAGAACAGCTTCCCAATTTAGGCACGGGGCCAGGAGGGTTTTAACACCTTGCAATGACTCCTTGCAATGACTCCTTGCAATGACTCCTTGCAATGACTCCTTGCCATGACTCCTTGCAATGACTCCTTGCCATGACTCCTTGCCATGACTCCTTGCAATGACTCCTTGCCATGACTCCTTGCAATGACTCCTTGCAATGACTCCTTGCAATGACTCCTTGCAATGACTCCTTGCAATGACTCCTTGCAATGACTCCTTGCAATGACTCCTTGCAATGACTTTCATGATCATGATTCCTTGCAATGACACCTTGTAATGACTCTCATGAGAACAACTCAAGTGAACCCAGCGGAAGAACCCTTCGCCACGCTTGCGGGAACACACAAGCCAACAAACAAACAACCAAACAAACGCACAAGCAAGCAAGCAAGCAAGCAAGCAAGCAAGCAAGCAAGCAAGCAAGCAAGCAAGCAAGCAAGCAAGCAAGCAAGCAAGCAAGCAAGCAAGCAAGCAAGCAAGCAAGCAAGCAAGCAAGCAAGCAAGCAAGCAAGCAAGCAAGCAAGCAAGCAAGCAAGCAAGCAAGCAAGCAAGAGAGCAAGAGAGCAAGCGAGCAGGCAAACCGACAGACAAACGGACAGACAAACAAACAGACAAACAAACAAGCAAACAACCAGTTCAATAAGCAAACAAGCAAACAAACAAACAAACAAACGAACAAACACAGGGCGGCCACAAAGGGCCGGTGCCTCTCTCCCCTCTGTTTCTGAGAGCCTGGGGCGAATGTGTCTTCGGAATTCGTCTTCGTCTGCGGGTGGAAAAGCAATGAACAAACAAACGCGCAAACAACAAAACATACAAACAAAGAATCAAAGACTCAAACAAGTAAACAAACAACGACACACACACACACAAACTAACATATAAGCAATGAAGTTTGCGAATAAACAAACACAAAACACACAGCATGAAACAAATGAACAAAAACAATAAACAAACACACAAGCAAACAAGCAAGCAAGCAAGCAAACAAACAAACAAACAAAGAAGCAAAGACCAAACAAGACTGTGAGATCCACAAGTGCGATCCCACCAGGAAAATAAGATCCGTTCCAAAGGACCTTGGCTTAAATACGCTTAAATGGACGCGAAATGAAAACCTCCAGTTCGAGTTTGGGGTCACTCCTTTTTGACCAAAGAAGCACGACAACCTGAAAGAAAGCCACAAAGGAAATAATCACATCCTACAAGAACCCACCTATTTTTGACAAAAATAACAACCAATTGCGACACATCATGCCCGTAAGGACTCCTGGCCACCCTCTCTGTTGCCCGCTCCGTGCCTCCGCGTCCGCGCCGGCGAGTCGCTGCACCACGTCCCAGCCCGCCGGCAAGCCCAGGCGTGCCCCGAGCTTCTTCGCAACCTCGGAGGCCTGCCTGAAGGGTTGCAAGGAGTCAGCGGTTCCAAATGGCCATGGGTCAAAAGCCCGTACCTCCAGTGACCATCCCAATCCCCGGTGGTGCACCTACCCAAAAATGGTACCATTGGTTTTGACCCACAGCCAAATGTGATTGCAACAGCATGTGGTTGTTTCCTCTCATTGCAACATTTACCAAATATGATTCCAAATGTTGTTGACAACCTGAGTTTCAAGAGTGGTTGAAACCTGATCTTAAACAACCAGAGTTTAAAGAGGTTGAACCAGGCGATCGTTGCGCAGAAACCAACCGTGGTTGCAGTCTAAGGGGCCCAGTGCAAAGACCCCCCTTTTCAAGGGCTTCCAGGTGGGAATGCCCTTTCAAGGGAGTCCACTATACCCTGGGCTGCTCAAAACCGAGTCTTTGCTAAATCCTGAACCCCAGGGAAGCGAGCACAAAGACCCCTACGTTTACCTCTGAGGGACCCCTTCTGAACCCAAAGGTCGCCTTGAAACCCGGGAATTGGTCTCAAGTTCCTCTTTCCTCTTCCCCTGGCCGGGAACGCATGATCCCCGCTTTGTAGAAACCAGCCGGTCATTTTGCAGGAAGTCCAAATACCCTCCGAACCACGGGCGTGGGCTAACTTCCTGAACTTCCAGTTGGCTTCTTAGAGTGTTCGGACTTGAACAAGGATTTCAAGGCCTCTGCGGTTTTCCAGCGATTTGGACAAAGCTCCAGGGTTGCATCTGATGCCAACAAACAGGAGATTGTTGAAAAACCAGGCCCCAACCAGGCGCTACATACGCTAGGATCATTCCACTGGAGGAATCTGGGCCCCTAACCAAGGCGGATGATGAAGCTCTTTTACGAACTGCCCACGACAATAATGATCTTGAAAAGCAGCCCCGCTTTGGGTGAGGAGAGATTGGGCAATGTCGCAAAACCATGAGCACTGTGAGGGTGGGCTTGAAATGTCCACGACAAGTGCGCAAAAAAGAATGAAACCTGCCATTTCGCGGGATGAAACCTGCCATTTGGATGGCTTGCCGATGCCTGCTAGGGAATTGGTTGACACGGTCTGGGTACCTGCGTGATTGACGTTTAAGAACGGCCAAAGCAAGGAAAGGCTTGCCTTAACAAATGCCCAGCGCCTTCGGCGAATTCGGTCTGTCTTCATTATTGGACCGCTCTGCCATACCGGAATTGGAAGCCAGCCCGCTCGGTTTCATATGTTGGGATTAAAGCAAGGCAGCGCAACATTCTCGCTTCCACGGGCTGAACAAAAGTGTGCGATGGAAGGCTTCCAGCCTTCCAGCGAGAACAACACAGGCCAGGAGGGAGGGAGTACCTGAAAACTCCGCCCACCGTCCTCATTTCTTCCAGTTTGGAGACCGGTGCTTTGATGGTTTGCACTTCTCTGACACTTGATCCCTTCATAACATGAATCGCACATCGCCAGGTGAAAAAAAAGAAGGAAAAACAAAAAGACAAAGTGCCCGGCAGCGCGCGCTGCATTTTGGTGTCAGCGCTGCAAGAGAGACAAAGGGGTTGACTGCCTCTACCGCCTAAGACCGCACAGCAATTTGGGTCTCGACCACCTGGGTTGAGACGGCATATAGGAGTGAACCCCCGAGGTCCGGAGGTGACCCCATATGCCAGTAAGCTCTGCATGCACATTGTGAAAAGATGTTCAAACGTACAGGGCTAGCGGTGCTGTTCGGCTCAATCGAGACAAACATTCGTCCGCCTCTAACGGCTTCGCTAGAAGTATGCGAAGATTTCGCACAACATGATTTCCTTTGGCTCTGCAGGACCAAGGCATTTCCTTTGGCTCTGCAGAACCAAGGCACATCCTGACTTGCCCCGCTGGCCATGAGGAACACAAGAACTGAAGGAACATTTGAGGCCAGCCAGCCAAACAATGCAAACCCAAACCAAGGTGGCACTAAACCCCTGCACCCCAGACATAAAGAAAGAAGCTCGATGCTACACACACAGCCAGGAGAAGAAACACATCAACTCACTTTTGGTTCCTTTGAGGGGACATGCAAGCACAATATTAGTGCCCGGAAAAGAAAACAAAACGGACAAACAAAATAAGGGGAAATAAAAACAAACATCAAAACATCAACAGAAACAAAGGTGCCACAGCCGAGCGTCCCACGAAAGGTACATGAGCATGGCCTGCAGGGCTGGGCCAACCCCATTTGCTTCGGGTTGAGGCCATGGCCCGCTTGCGAAAACTTTGTTGCACCACCATGGCCTGCTTTTGCATTCCCTTCAACTGGTATCAGGGGGTGTGGTTCTGTGCGGATTGCCAGCATTGGAAACAACAACTCGTCGTTCGAACTGTCCGTTTGCTTCTCCTTGTCTTGTGGTTTACCTTAGGGCCCATTGTCTGAACAACCGTCGACAAGCATTGCTTAAGTCATTCTTAGGGCCATGCCTTGAACCAGGGTGGTTCAAGCCATTATTGGCGGCCACTGTTTAAGCAGCCATTGACTAATCCATTCATAGGGGCCATTGTGTAAATACCCATGCATGCTTCAAAGAATTCCGAGGGGCCATGTAAGCATATTCGAACATTTTTTAGGGGCCACAGTTTAACCAACCATCGCTCAGACCATTCTATTGGTTTCTGTTCTTTACACCATGATGGTTGAAACTAATCTTCGCAGACAGTGTTCATTGGAGGCAAAACATCTAAAAAGTAGGCTGGGGGCGAGCAGCACCTTGGTGTGACAGGGGGACGGCAGCCACCCCATGATGTTCGAAGAACTGCACACGAAAAAGAAGCCCCCTCCATGATGATCGAACCAGTGATGATTCAATTAGCGGTGCATTAATTGAAAGGGGGGGTGGCGAGGGGCACCAGAGAGAAACTGGTGATGCTGAGGATGCAGGAAGCCAAGGCCGAAAACCAACTGGGAAAGCAGAGGATGCGAAAAGCCAAAGCCAGAAAGCCACCAAAAGCCACAAAACCACCCTTCCACAAGTGCAAAGCGATTGTTCTGTGTCCCTGTTGTTGTGGTTGTTGTTGTTGGTGGTGGCGGTGGCTGGTGGTTGGTTGGTTGTTTGTTGTTGGTTGTTGCCTCTTGTTTGTTGGTTGTTTGTTCGTTGTTTGGTGTTGCTTGGTGCTATGCTGCTGCTGCTGCGGCTGCGGCTGCGGCTGCGGCTGCCGCTGCCGCTGCCGTTGCCTTTGCCGTTGCTGTTGCTGATGCTGATGTTGTTGTTGCTGCTGTTGTTGCTGTTGTTGCTGTTGCTCCATGAATACAACCAAGAACGAGCACCAAGTCACAAAACAAAAGCGTGATACCAGTGAAATAATTTCCCACGAATTGAGAATTTGGTACCTGTCGGCTCCCTGATGTCGGAGAAATCGGAACCAACCCACCACGACGAGTGAGACAAAGAGCCCAGCTTAAGTTGTCAAACTTTTCTCTTCCAGCCGCCCCAAATCAAAAGTTGCAAAGTCATGCTTGTTTTTGGACAAGTCTATGTCTGGGGGTCCTCCGCTGTGATGGGATCATCATCTGTGATCAGAATGTGTGAAGGACTTCGTCTGCCGGCCCGCCGCATCCGATGATGATCAGACCTCGGAAACCAACCCGGACCCCTCACCTTTGGGGCGGTGCTTCCAAGTGAAGGATATCCGAAATGGGAAACCGAGCTCACAAATCAGGGGTTCATCCCGGGTTCCGATTTTTGCCCGCCTAAATAAAGCGCTTCTTGACTTCTTTGCCGCTGAGTGGGAACACAATGGAACACACACACACACACACGCATGACATGTTCAACAACTAGCTTAACGTGAGATAGTCCAACTAACTAGGGCGAGAGGCGCAAGTCCTTGTAGTACTGGCTGAAAGCCACATCGCCGCCTTTGCTGAGCCTGGATCAGGCTGAATGCGCATGGCATCTCCACTTTGCGGAGATATGCCAGCTTGGATGCTTGAGCCGTCGAAACAGCGTTGCGAACCCAAAAAGCCATCACTGCTAGAGAGACCTCCTTTTGTCAAAGCAGGCAGGCCCCAGATCGCCAGAAAAAAACGAAATTTGGAGCTTATTTGGATTTGTGAAGAAGTATGACACTTTTCTGAGCCTTATGAAAACATATAATCGCCCATCCAGTGCGCTGGTGTATTGTGGCAGGGGATCATGTTCCATGAACCATGGATGAACACATATTCAGGGCACTGGGGTGCTGCAGTTTGTGGGTGAGCTGCTTCTCTACAACTGTGAAACCATATGATTCAGTCCTTGGTTCCTATGGTCAGCACAATCTTCTTTTGTTCAATCGTCACTCACAACTCCCAGGGGCCGGGCACCACCCGGCAGCGCGTTAAACACTGATCTGCACATTTGGGGGCTTGGCAAGTACTGCTTCGTTGTCAAGCGCAAGCGGCCTCGCCAAGCACTCTTGTTAAGAAGCCCTTTGGTGCTTGTCTCAAACACTAGATTACCTGTGCCCTTGCAACAATACTTGCAAATCTTGCAGCTGTGACCCAGGAACTCTGCCCATCAGCCAGCAGTCAGACCAGTGGACCCGTGACAGTGTCTGATGTCAGGATTCCATGTCTGAGCAAGCCACTTCTGCAGAAAATGCTTTGACCTCTGACGTTCACAACCGTAGCAAGTCTAATAAGAAGCAGCCAGCAATACAAGACATTCTGATAGATTGAGATGACGAGTCTCCGAGTGAGTTCAATTTCTAGTCTGGTTTTCTCAGACTAGGCGTGTTGCCACTAACAAACGGAAGATTGCTGAATAACCAAGCCCCAACCAGGCGCTACACATGGTTGCAGGGTCATTCCTTCCATGCCGCCCAACCAGCCGGCTCCGATGCCATGACTTCAACCCGGAGGGTGGTTGGCTTCCCCCAACTGAGGCAGACCTGGCTTTGCCTGGAAGGAAAAGCCGCTAACTACGGCCGGATGGTGGGACTTTCACTGGCCATAATCGGGATTTTGCAATGTCGCAGAACCATAGGCAATCAAAAGTGCACAAAAGGAATGCAACCTGTGCTACCTGCCATTTGGAGCCATTGCCAAAGATTGACACATGCCCGCTTGAAGGAACGGGAGGGTTGACACGGTCTGAGTATCTGCGTGATTGACGCGCAAGTGCGGCTAAAGCAAGGAAAGGCTCCCTTCAACAAATGCTCCACAGTGCCAAAAGGAGCCGACGATTCTTGGTCTGCCTTCCTTGCACGGCTCTGGACAACATGCCATAATTCTAACTGACTCGCCCGCTCGGCTTCATATGTGGGAGTGAAGCGGGGCAACACAACATTTAAGACAACTTTGGGGGATCGAGCCAGCTCTCAGGATAGGCTTCAACTGGGACGTTGCACAAATGTGTGGGATGGAAGGCTAACAGTTCTAGCGAGAACGTCGCAACCCAGGAAGGAGGAAGTATCTGCAAAGTCCGCCCACCGTCGTCCGCAACCTTTTCTGACAGTTGATCCATACAGCACATGGATTGCACATCGCCGGGTGAAAAACAAAGAACACTGCGCCTGGCGGCGCGCTGTATTTTTGCTTGAGCCCTGCCAACAAAAAACAAAAAAAACACACACACACACACATACCCAAAGCGTCTGACTGCCCCACCGTCCAAGACCGCACTGCAATTTGGGCCTCGCCCACCTTGGGGGTTCAACCCCCGAGGTCGGGAACTGAGCCCTGCGTGCACTTTGTCGGTACAGGTGACAGTTCTGCGGCTGGCGTCGTCTGTTCGGCTCAATGGAGACAAATACACATCCCCCGCCGATGGTGTCTTCGCCACAATTATGCGGAGATTTCTAAATTTGCTCAGCAGGATAAAGGCACATCCTGACTTGCCCCACTGGCCATGAGGAACAAAAAAAAACTGAACGAACACTTGAGGGCAACCAGCCAAACACAAGAAAACGCAAACCAAGATGCCGCCAGACACCCGCACCCCAAAATCCAAAGAACGAAACTGGGTGCTAAACACGCAGCCGGCAGCAGAAACATATCAATCCTCTTTTGCGTCCCGTGAGAGGACCATGAAAGCACAGTCTTCGGACCCGGAAAAACAAACAACTAAATGGTTGCCAGCGGACAAACAAAAATTACACCAGTATAGGCCCATAATAGCGACAAACCAGGCCGATGACTGCACTCCAGCACCACCCTGCCATCCATCTCGCAAAATGCGCCCGTGCCGTCAAAAAGGCCGCCCAAATAGCACCAGCACCAGCACCCCACACTGCGCTCCCCCCAGAAGCCTTGCCGTCAATTTCGCAATCACGCGCCCGCGCCCGTTACCAGCGCCCCACTGAAACTGCATGCCCCTTAGTACCCTGTCAATTTTGCAAAAATGCGCCCGCACCATCACCAGCACCTCAAACAGCACCTGCACCAGCACCCCAAACTGCACGCCTCCTGGCACCCAGCCATCAATCTTGCAAATCACGGTCCCCTCTTTGTGTTGGAAATTAGAACCCCTTTAGCTTTCAGCTATCCGGGCAACAAGGTGCCATCGGGCGCAGGCAAAGGTGCAGCCGAGCGTCCCACAAAAGGTACGTGAGCATGGCCTGCAGGGCTGGGCCAACCCCATTGCTTCGGGTTGAGGCCATCCGCTTGCTGCGAAACCTTTCTCTTTTTTGGGGCACCACCACCCAATGGCCTCCTGTTGGATTCCCATTAGATGGTATCAGGGTTGGTGTTCACCGCTTGTCGCCATTGGAAACAACAACTTGTTGCTCCTTTTCCTTGGTTTACCTTAAGTCCCATTGTCTGAGCAAACGTTGTTTCAACCGGATCCGGATTTAAACAACCAGTGTTCAATCCATCGCTGGGGCCATTGCTGAACACTCTTAGGGCCAATGTTTAAACAACAATCTTTCGAACCATTCTTTGGGTCACGGTACCTTTGTTTACTTCGTTCTTCGGGCTGCGTTTCGAAAAACATTGCTTGCGCAATTCTTAGGGTGTTAATCCACGCATAGGGGGCATTGCGTAAACACCCATGTTTCAAGTCATTCCAAGGTACCAATGTGTAACAACGGTTCAACCCATTCTTCGGGGCCATCATACTCAGGGGCCATTGTGTAAACAACCATGGTTTAACAATTTCTTGGGAGCCTTTGCTTTGAAATCATTGTCTACGTCATTCTTGGGGCCATTGTTTAAAACAACCAGCGTTCAAATCAATCTGAGAAAACAGGATTCAAGTTTAAACCACCATTGCTTAAGCCTTCATAGCGTCCTTGTTTAAACAACCATCCGCCATTTTTAGGGTCAATGTCCAAGACTTTGGGGGCTATCAAGCAACCTTTGCTTGCTTAAACAACTAGCGTTCAAACTATGTAGGGGCCTTTGTTTAGAAGATCAAACCACACTGGTTCACACAATTCTTCGGAGCCATTGTTCAATCAGCCATTGTTTGAGCCTTTCTCAGGGAACAACCTAGCGGATTCCGTTCAAACAACCGTTGCTTACAACTTTCTTAGAGGCCATTGTTCAAGCAGCATCAAGTGTCCGTCCCGTTGTTTCCTACGCCATTCTCAGCAACCAATGTTGCCACGCTGCCTGAACTGCGGAAGGCTCGCAGGGCTTGTCGAAGAGCCCTCGCAAGTATCCCGGCCCCAGCAGGGCGCTCAGCAGTCCCATGGTAACCTCCATTATCACGTAGCAAGCGCCCAGCTGCACCCCTCACAAGTTTTTGGCCCTGGGGATTGGCAAAACAAATGCTCCAAAAATGCCTCAACAGCTTGCTTTGGGGGTTGTTGACAAAACGCAAGGCCCCCCGAACGCTTTTCACTGGGTGGGAACCCCAGGGCTCACTTGGAACCAAAGGAAAATAAGACAACAGACAAAGGTATCCGCGCAAAATGCTTTAAGCTCAGCCCGCATGCCTTCTGGCTTGGAGCAAACTTAAATTGAGTGCCCCGCCAGAAGAATTTTCTAGGACACACTGTGACACACATGAAACCTTGTCCATATTTGCCTCATACCAATCTTCGGGGACGACATAGAGCGACCTGTTGAGAACATCTATCCCCACCCTTACTTGAAAACTTGAAAATCACGGGGCGCCACAAGACGCCCTGTTTGTTCGCCAAGGAAAACCACAGAAAGTGCGCCAAAAAGGCCTACCTTTCATAAATGCGGACCCCGTCCCGAATCCTTGGTCCGTGGCAGTGACATCCTCAAATGATCCTCTAAATCACCACATTTTTGAAGGGCCTCCCAACTATTGCAATTTTGAGAACAACGGGTGATGTTTATTGTAAGCCGAACGCACATGGCAAAATGCCCTTTCTGTCGGGTTGAGGCGTTCTCCTTATCACAGGGAAATGTCGGAAGCCCGAAATAAGCAACCCAGCTTGGCGTCGGAATGGCAGCTCCCGGATCCCATGCAGCGACAGCGCGGGCACCAGCTGCTGCCGCTGGCCCAAGGCCGCACGCAGGCGACCCCACCTGGCTAACGCGGGGAGACGCGGGGGGCCCGTAAAATCTGTTTCGACAGGTGCGAGCCAAACAATTTGAAATAACTCAGGTGACATCCCCAACAGCATCCCCGAAACCTTCGTGGAACCCTCGTGGACCCGCTGAAACCCTCGCAGAACCTTACTGCTACGCCGCGCGTTCCCGAAGCTCGGGGAGCCTGCTCGGATCGCCCCATGTGTCCGCAGAGCCGCTGGAACCCTCGGAGCCCCCCTCGGAACCGCCATGCGTCCGGTGCCTGAACCCGCGCAACCTTGCGGAACCCCTCGAAGAACTCTCGCCTCCCCAGCGTGCATGCATCCCCACAACCCTCGCGGAACCCTCCAGCCTCGCGGAACCCTCACGGAACCCTTGGACAACCCTCGCGGAACCATGCTCAGAGCCTCGGACCACCCCAGTGCCTATCTGGCCTGAGACCCCATCCGTTCTGTGCTCTAGCTTCTTCCGCGCTGCAAAGAAAAGAGCAGAACACATCAGGCCTACTAGTTAGTAGAAACAGGATGCCTGAGCATGAGCCAAATGGGATCAACGAGGGAGCTTCTGCAATTCGAACCCTACGTCGGCCGCCCAACCAAAGAGAACATCAACCAAACAAAAAGAACTCAGCTCGGTTTTGGAACAACTCTCGAGTGGCGCAGTCTGGGTTTTGTGGGATTGTCATCCACCGCTGACCATCACTCACCATGTGACTGGGAATTTAAACGCCGCCCACAAGGATTCTGTGACCACGGCCCACAGAGCAGGCAAGCCACGTCAACTCACGACGGCCCACCAAGCAGGCTTAAACCGGGGTGGACTGCTGAATTTGTGTGGTGTATGTAGTCTGAGCCCTTTACGGTGGGATAGGATAGGATGGGTGGAAGCAGTTTCCTTCGGGGAAGGCTTCCAAGGAAGGTTATCCAACAGGTCCATGTGGGATTTGCTTGGTTTTAGCTTCTCAGTTTGTATGAGAGACCAAGGCAATCCTCTTTACCGTGCTAATGTAGTCATGGCTGCACTTTGGCATCACAGTTGGCAACCAGGGCCGTCGAGGTCCGTATGCAAGGCCTCCTCAAATCATGTTGCGCCAAAAGAGCCCGCCAGCCTGAAGGAAATCCCAACATGAGGACCGCAAAACCAGCCTAAGGCAAAAGGCCGCCCAACCCAAAAGCTTCAAAACTGAGCGGTTCTGAGAACCTTTCCGTAGGGCTAGGATCCGCTACTGTCTATTAAATAGGTGCCTGTCCGAGGAAGCAAAGTGGGCCATGTAGCGCCAACAGGCATTGACTTGGGTCCATCGGTCCCGCGCCTACCCCGTGTGCTTCTCTCCGCGAGACGCTCGGCGTCCACGGATGCGGGCGAGGCCGGCAAGCCCGGCGAGGGCTGAAGCGGAATCTCGCTCACGGAATCAAAGGTCATGTTGGAAGCCTCGGAAACAAATAGCAAACAAATAGCAAATAGCGAAGACTTTTGAGAGATTTGTGATTGGGCAAGGGCAAGCGCTGTCACAACACGCTACTGGCTGAGGGCTGCAGAGCCTTCCCAAACACCGGGGCAGAGCACAGCTGCTTGCTGCTGCTGCGCAGTGAGCTTTCTCAACATTAGTTGTCCAGACTGCTGCGGCGGTCGCCTGCGTACAGCACAACGTGAGCCTCCCTTGGCAGGTCCTCTTCGAATGGCCTATGCAGAACGACGCGATCTCACCGCCCAGGCTTGCTTCTACAGAGCCCCCGCTGCGCAAGACAAGTTCCACACATATTCTGAACAAACACACCCAGATTACACCAGCATAGACCCCAGATAGCGCACCACGGAAACGAACCATGACGCAGCATTATCATGATGATGTAGACCATGATGACACCACAGCCACGAAACAAACGCGCAGACAACGTCCTAATGAGATCAGCAGCATAATGATGATTTTGAGAGCGGCAGGAAAAAAGCAAAAACGAGGTCCTGATGAGTTTGACAGCATCATGATGATGCGGACAGCATCATGATGATGCGGACAGCATCATGGTGATGCGAACAGCATCATGTTGATGGTAAAGGCAGCATCATGATGATACCACAGCCACGAACCATCTTGCGACAGCTTAATGAAATTCTGCATCATCCTGATGTTGACAGCATCACGGCGCTACTACGCCCACACACCATAACGTGGCAACATCATGACGATACACCAGCCACGAACCGTTACACGCGAACAGCATCCACCAGCACCCCAAACATGCCCCCTAGCACCCGGCACAACCAAAGCAGCATCCACCCGCGCCTCAAACTGCATGCCCCCTAGAACCGGCCGTCAAGCTCGCAAAACAGCATCCACCAGCACCCCAAACTGCATGCCCCCTAGCACTCGGCCAGCTCGCAAAACAGCATCCACAGCCAAAACTGCATCACCTACCAGCACCCCAAACTGCATGCCCCCTAGCACCCGGCCGTCAAGCTCGCAAACCAGCACCCACCAGCACCCCAAACTGCACGCCCCCTAGCACCCGGCCGTCAAGCTCGCAAACCAGCACCCACCAGCACCCCAAACTGCATTAGCACCCGGCCGTCAAGCTCGCAAAGCAGCATCCACCAGCACCCCGCACTGCATGCCCCCTAGCACCCGGCCGTCAAAAGCAGCACCCACCAGCACCCCAAACTGCATGCCCCCTAGCACCCGGCCGTCAAGCTCGCAAAGCAGCATCCACCAGCACCCAAACTGCATGCCCCCTAGCACCCGGCCGTCAAGCTCGCAAAACAGCACCACCAGCACCCCAAACTGCATGCCCCCTAGCACCCGGCCGTCAAGCTCGCAAAGCAGCATCCACCAGCACCCAAACTGCATGCCCCCTAGCACCCGGCCGTCAAGCTCGCAAAGCAGCACCACCAGCACCTCAAACTGCATGCCCCCTAGCACCCGGCCGTCAAGCTCGCAAAGCAGCATCCACCAGCACCCAAACTGCATGCCCCAGCACCTCAGCATGCACCCCAAACCGCATGCTCCCTAGCACCCGGCCGTCAAGCTCACAAAGCAGCACCCACCAGCACCCCAAACTGCATGCCCCCTAGCGCCCGGCAGTCAAGCGCACCTCAAACTGCATGCCCCCAAGCACCCGGCCGTCAGCTCGCAAAGCAGCATCCACCAGCACCTCAAACTGCATGCCCCCCAGCACCCGGCCGTCAAGCTCGCAAAGCAGCATCCACCAGCACCTCAAACTGCATGCCCCCTAGCACCCGGCCGTCAATCTCGCAAAGCAGCATCCACCAGCACCTCAAACTGCATGCCCCCTCAAGCTCGCAAAGCAGCATCCACCAGCACCTCAAACTGCATGCCCCCTAGCACCCGGCCCTCAATCTCGCAAAGCAGCATCCACCAGCACCTCAAACTGCATGCCCCCTAGCACCCGGCCGTCAAGCTCGCAAAGCAGCATCCACCAGCACCTCAAACTGCATGCCGGCCCTCAATCTCGCAAATCACTTTCCCCTCTTCATTAGAAGTTAGAACCCCTATAGCTTTCAGCTATCTGGGGAAAAACTTGCTTTTGGGAAAAAGACATGGATTTGTGAAACCTTGTTGCTCTTGTCGAGTTTAGCGGGGTCCCGAAGATTTGTTTTCCATGGGAAGCCCCATGATTAGAAAAGGGGGTTGACCCGAATCGGAACACCTGTCTCACTTTTTGGCCTGCAAGAGAGGTAAATGGGGATTTTGGTGATTGTCTTCTTCCAGGGAGTCCTTGATTCATTCCTTGTAGGGTATTTTCATCAGCGACTAGCACAACAACATGTGGAGTTGGCTCCTGGAAGTTGTTTGTTGCTGGTTTGTTTTTGACACACGCGAGAAAACTGTGACGTCGACCCTGGGGTTGCCAATCCTTGCCCAACAAAACATCAAACCGCCGGACAAAGCAAGGGGCGCAGTCTCGCCGGGCAGGGCGACCAAACAGAGTTGGCCTCACCTCAACCGCCACCAGCTGGCCTGGCTCGTTGAGGCACTCCCGCGCCTGGTCCCGCTCGTGCCACTCCGCCGCCACGGGCGCGTATGGCAGGAGCTCCTGCAAACAGAAAACGAACGTGGCGGTGGGGAACACATGTTGCGAAATCATGACAACTTGGCGTCATGTCGGCGTGTCTCCTTGGTGTTGCTCTACGCTGCTTAAAAGGGGAAATGCAAAAATGGTCAGTTAAGTCCTGGCATAAAACAAGGCTCCTGCACTACCACCAGGTCTTCCATCAGCTCCGCTATCAGCATCACCAGAAGCGCCCAGCCTGCGGAGGCGTTGAAGAGTGCGAAGCGTGGCGACGTTGCCGGGAGGAGGCCGTAGACGAAGGCCCGTGCCACAACCAGCGCCAAGATGGGGACAAACCGGAAGTAGCCCCCATAGATCCGAACCCTCAGACCGAACGATGGACCAATGTTGGGCATGCCTTCCTGAAAAGTCCAGGTAGCCACGACATCCAGCACTCACATGCCCAAAGTGCTGCGCTTGCCACGAAACCAGGGGGCCCACATGAGCGCGAGCAAAAGTGCTGCGGCTGCCACAAAGTGAGCACTCACATGATCTCACGTGTCCAAAGCGCCGTGCCTTCCACGAAACCAACACGAGCGCGCACGACAACATCCAGTCCCTTTAGAGACCTCTCAAATGCTGCCCCTGCCACGCCTGCGCCAAAAATGCATGACTGAAAGTGCCATGGGGACAATGGATTCCATAAGCATGCCACCTGCACTTTGAAGACAAAATGAGCTCATGTGTCTGTGTGCATTGCGCATTGTTCACTCTGCGTGTGGTGGATGAGGAATTGCACTGTGTGGCCCAAACTATTTGAGGCTCTATGCTTGTTGCGCTTTGCAATCCATACAGGCATGCTGAGACTGACACCATGTTCTTTGATTGGGATCTGTTGGATCAGCATGGGCAGCCTGGAACCCCAATTCAGTATTTCCCAACACTGATCTGTTGCCAAATTCTAAAGTAGCACTGCCCAAAACTAGCATTGCCCAATACAAGTAGACCTCTCCGAGTATTTCAGCTCCAGGATCTTGATCTTGGAGGGAAACACCTTCTAGAAGGAAGACTGGTAGCGGGCCCGGGAACCGATACCCTTAAGAAAAACGGGTCTTCCAAAGAAACGGAAGTGCCATGTTCAAAAAGCCGAGCTTGACCGCCCTTGCCGAGTCTCTCATCATGGATAAGGTTCCAATCCACGGGCGCCACCTTCCTTGCCAGCCGCCGAAGCCGCAAACGCTTCAGCAGTTGGAAGAGGCACCACCGAGACCAGCCCAAGCGCAAGAAGAGGTTCAACAACCTAAGCATCCCATGAGGGCACTACAAGGGAAGCCATATGGCATACGGACCAAGGATTGGCCCAGAGTAGGACCGCCCCTGAGTTTGACCAACACGAAGCCGAAATGGGACACCGCAAAAAGGGCAAGTGTGTCTTACATGTGAGAATTCGGGTGTCACATAAGGGGTATTGAAAAATTACACCAGCCTCGACCCCAAACAGCAAAAAGGCATGACAAGTCTGTATAACCAAAAAAAGGCCTGTCTCCTTCATGCTTGCGGCCGAGACTGGACACATGCCACTTCTGGTTGCCATCTTCTTCTCGAGCTCGGCTTTACGGCCGGGACATCCTCGCCTAGCAACGCAGACACACGCCGCGCCAAATTGGCAAGCGTCAGCAAAGGTGCCCGCTTGGCACGCACCTCTGTCACCCGGCACAGCTCCAGAAAATCCTCAGTGTTTGAGCCGGCAGTAGCTTGGTCATCCAGGGCCTTCATCTCTTTCGTGTCCAGCGCGCCGCGTGCTCCAAAAATGGCCAACGCATGGCTTTGCTCCATGCGCCCAACACCGCTCCATTCTGGAACAAGCTTGGCTTTGAACGTCAGCTTTAGCCTGGTTCATCTCGGAAACGTGTGAGAACTTTGCCCCAACTTACCAATGCTGGCTGCACAGCGGACACCACCAGCTTGGCCGGGTTCATCTTGGAGTTGGTGCTTATGGTTCGCAGATTGGTGTTCACATGTGTGGTGAACGACCGGCGGCCGTCATTCCAACGCACGCCGCTGGCAACAACTTCTGGGCCTTGCGTTCACTCAGCTCCAGCAGCACTGTAATCAACTGGCCGGGTTCGTGAACTCTTTCCAAGTTGTCAGGAGCTCCTATGCATCAACCAAGTTTTTCGAGGAGAGCTCGACAAGTGCAGGGACGATGCAAACAACTTTTACGAGCTAATGGATTGTTTGGGGACCCGACTCACCCAGGCTATACTTCCAGGACAATTCTTTCTGGAAACCGGTCAGAAAAAACCCTTGGAGCGGACCCCCCCCCTTACGATACAACAAGATGATAAGCACGCCTGCTTGACTGTGTGTTCGCTCGGCGTTTTCTGCGATAGCAGCAGATCTCCAAGAGCAAGTAACCAGGAAACCACCAAGCCACTCTGCGATTGGCGAAACGGCTCTTGTTGATGGGACCCCAAAAAGAAAGCATCAAACACGGCGGCGGCGTTAGAAACTCTTATTGGTTATTGGATTATAGAGCCACCGAACATGTCAAAACATGGCCATGACCGTGTCTCCTTGATGCAATCACCACATTGAGCACCAGAGCCGCCATTCCGTAATGTTGCTGGGGAGTTCGCCACGCTCGGAATCGACGTTCAAGGCGTAGTGGAGGCGAAGCTGTGTCGTCAAAGAAGAAATGGATGGGTCATGTCTGTAGCACGTGTTGGTCTTGATGCTATCAGCACATCCCTCCAGCTTGGTTTCCCGACAAGCCACGTATGCTGCGAGCAAGTGAATCAGAATCTCGCCCGGAGCTGCCAAATTCAAGTCAAGGTCTCGGAAAAGAACGTCGATTGCGAGAATGAAATGGAATTGCTCGGATTTCCGAAAATACTCACTGCGGGAGGCTAGCATCACGTTGACCCTTTGGTGTTCCATGGATCCAGAGACTGTAGGGAAGCTAGCGCCTCAGAGGATGGCACCTTACGACGTCCCGCCATGAAAACCCTTGAGCCCTCGCACTTGCAAGCCCTGGCACTTTCAGACAACTGCAAAACAGCAGCGTCCATATTGCGGAATACGTGGAAACAAGGCTAAGAAATCTGTCTTATTCTGTCAGGAGGCAACGAGATATGTCAAAGCTGCAACCTTGCCAGGTGTGAAATGCTGCAGCAAAATGCGTTTCGTTTGTCAGTGGGACTGGATTGCACGGGTGAGGAAAAAGCGTCGCAGTAAATGTGGCCATTTCGTTCTCGAGAAACAAATACTTTGCTCAGGATTCTGAGCTGCTTTTTGGAAGCGCCGCACTTGTTGGTCAGGCGCAGGCTTGCATTACGGCGCATCAGCAGAGCCCTGCCAAGCCTTAAATATGTACTGTTGTTCTCGATAAACAAATACCGTGACATCCGCCTGATTGTGTTGCTCAGGATTCAAGTTGCTGAGAGAACTTGCTCAAATAATTTGTGCCAAGAACTTGCCTGGAGAACTTGATCAAAGGAACTCGCGCCAACAACTTGCAGAACTTGCTAGGATTACTTGGCGCCGCGCGCTGCTCATGCTTTCGAGCCACCCATCTTCTAGTCTCCTCTTGGTAGCATCACTGTAGTTCGAGCACCCTTTCTTGTTGGAAGGCTCGACAGGGCTCTGCTGATGTGCCAAAGCAGCTCAGAAGCCTGAGCAAAGCAATCAGGCAGATGTCACGGTATGTTTGTTTATCGAGAACAATATACAAATTTAAGGCTCGACAGCTCTGCTGATGCGCCACAAGGATGCAAACCTGCACTTGGCTAAGAAGCGCTTTCAAAAAGCAGCTCAGAATCCTGCAGGCGGATGTCACGGTATTTGTTTATCGAGAACAAAAGTAAATATTTTAAGGCCTGACAGATCTCTGCTGATGCGCCACACAAGGATGCAAACTTGCACTTGGCCAAGAAGTGCGGCACTGGCTTCCAAAAAGCAGCTCAGAATCCTGAGCAAAGCAATCAGGCGGATGTATATTTGGCTATCAAGAAAAATGGACACAGGGGCCCTGCTGATGCGCCACAAGGATGCAAACCTGCGCTTGACCAAGAAGTGCGGCGCTGGCTTCCACAAAGCAGGCCAGTATCAGCCGGATGTCACGGTATTTGTTCAGCTGATGCGCCACAAGGACGCAAACCTGCGCTTGACCAAGCATTTAAGGCTCGAGCTCAGCATGCGCCACAAGGGTGCAAACTTGCACTTGACCAAGTGCGGCACTGGCTTCCAAAAAGCAGCTCTGTATCCGCCGTATTTGTCTATCGAAACCAGGTCTACATATTTAAGGCTCGGCAGGGTTTGCTGATGCACCGCAAGGATGCAAACCTGCACTTGACCAAGAAGTGCGGCACTGGCTTCCAAAAAGCAATCAGCCGGATGTCACTATATATTTGATTTTTATCGAGAAACATAGACATATTCAAGGCTCGACAGGGCCCTGCTGGTGCGCCACAAGGATGCACACCTGCACTTGACCAAGAAGTGCGGCACTGGCTTCTGAAAAGGAGCTCAGTTTCCTGAGCAAGGCAATGAGCCGGATGTCACGATTTGTTTGTTTATCGAGAACAAAATAAGGCTCGACATTGCTTGCTTCTAGCTGCAACGATGCTCCACAAGGATGCAAACCTGCGCTGGGCCAAGAGAGAGGCACATCCTTTGCACACAGGCTAACAGCAAAATCTGCGACATGCCCTTTCCCCGTTGCGAAGCATTGTTGCAAGTGGTTCCTGCTGACTTGTCGAATCTATGCTTCTAGCTTGATGCTCCTCAGTTGCGCTTGCAAGCTGCTGCCACGTGAGCCGAAGCGAGCCGAAGGGAGCCGAGCGCCGGTTACTGGATGCCAAGCAAGCCAGGTCAGCCTCAAAACTGGGTAAGAAGAAACAGGTTCAGTTGGTTTTGCCCGGGACCTTCATTTTTCCTGTTGAGGGCTGTAGGCAGGAAAGCAGCCAGCTGGCAGCAAGCAAGGTCAGCTCCAAAACTCGCAAAGAAGAAGCAGCTTCAATTGGTTTTGCCCGGGACCCTGTTGAGGGCTGTAAGCATTAAACAAACAGCCAACCGCAGAGACTGGGAGACAGGAGGCACGACCCGGAGCCAGCGTCACAGCATCTGGCGTCTGACCGCAGAGACTGGGAGACACAAAAAGACAAGCGGGAGACACGACCCGGCAGCCAGCGTCACAGCATCTGGCATCTGACCGCAGAGACCTTGCCCGCAGCCAGCGTCACAGCATCTGGCCTTTGAGTGAGAGACTGGGAGACAGGGAGACAGGCGGGAGACACGACATCTGACCGCAGAGCAGAGACTGGGAGACACAGGGAGACAAGCGGGAGACACAACATCTAGCATCTGACCGCAGAGACTGGGAGACACAGCAAAACAAGCGGGAGACACGACCCCGCAGCCAGCGTCACAGCATCTGGCATCTGACCGCAGAAACCTTGAAAGACACAGGGAGACAAGCGGGAGACACGGCCCCGCAGCCAGCGTCACAGCATCTGGCCTTTGAATGGAGAGACTGGGAGACAGGGAGACAAGCGGGAGACACGACCCCGGCGTCACAGCATCTGGCATCTGACCGCAGAGACTGGGAGACAGGGAGACAAGCGGGAGACACCACCCGGAGCCAGCGTCACAGCATCTGGCATCTGACCGCAGAGACCTTGGCAGACACCGGGAGGCAAGCGGGAGACGCATCACAGCATCTGGCATCTGACCGCAGAGACTGGGAGACACAGGAACAAGCGGGAGACACGACCCGGCAGCCAGCGTCACAGCATCTGGCATCTGACCGCAGAGACCTTGCCCGCAGCCAGCGTCACAGCATCTGGCCTTTGAATGAGAGACTGGGAGACAGGGAGACAGGCGGGAGACACGACATCTGACCGTAGAGCGGAGACTGGGAGACACAGGGAGACAAGCGGGAGACACGACATCTAGCATCTGACCGCAGCAAAACAAGCGGGAGACACGATGGCATCTGACCGCAGAAACCTTGGGAGACACAGGGAGACAAGCGGGAGACACGGCCCCGCAGCCAGCGTCACAGCATCTGGCCTTTGAATGGAGAGACTGGGAGACAGGGAGACAAGCGGGAGACATGACCCCGGCGTCACAGCATCTGGCATCTGACCGCAGAGACTGGGAGACAGGGAGACAAGCGGGAGACACCACCCGGAGCCAGCGTCACAGCATCTGGCATCTGACTGCAGAGACCTTGGCAGACACTGGGAGGCAAGCGGGAGACGCATCACAGCATCTGGCATCTGACCGCAGAGACTGGGAGACACAGGGACAAGCGGGAGACACGACCTGGAGCCGGCGTCACAGCATCTGGCATCTGACCGGAGAGACTGGGAGACAGGAAGACAAGCAGAAAACAGGACCCCGGAATTGGCGTCACACTTTCCCATTCTCTATACCTCAAGTTAGAACCCCAATGCTTCGCTGTTTGGGGAATTAAACCATCACCCGTCGCATACAAACTCCTAAGCTATGTTTATTCTTTCCCACTGTTGAAGCCTTTTCCAGGCTAAGTCTGGGCAAGGGGCAGCGTGATCAGCAACGTGGGAATCCAAAAGAACGTGCCCGTGGTGACGGCTCCAATCCAGCTGGCAGCCAAACGAGTGGTCTCTGCAAAGGCATGGGCGGCGACGAGCATAGTTGCCACCTTGAACTTCGCCAAAGACTCGCCTAGAAAGCCGAACGACCCTTGGGCTGGCTTCATTTGTGACCCCTGGGATCCGCAAGGTCAACGGGCTACTCACACGAGCTGTTGCATTCCACACCATTCGGAAATCTTCATTCAGACACATCTCCAGCTGTTTCATGCTGAACGTTCTGGAAGAGGTGGCGGCTGCCCCAAACTTTCACAGGCACAGGCGTCCAGCTTGGCGGCTTGGAACGGCAGCTCAATTGGTTTCCTGAATTGGCTACTTTTTGCCCCCAGTTGCTGCGCACATGCCACTTCGCGTAGATTGTTCATCCCCGGGCACAGGCAAGGCTCTATCCACTAAAAACACTTCTTTTTTTTGCAGCGCTTTCTTTTGTTTGGCTAAACTGCTTGGCTGGCTGGCTCACCGGCCGGCTGCCCGGCTGGTTGGTTGAGCTGGCCGGGTGGTTGGTTGGAGAGTTGGACGGTTTCTGCCTCGATGGTTAGAGAGCTTTGAGCCGTTTGCTCCTGACAGTTCACACTACGCTTCGGCATTGCGGGCAAACCCAAATCTAAACACTATGCGTCCCAAATTCACCAAAATCATCATGATTTTGAAGCAGGCTAACATATGTTGAATGCTTGGGAAGCCCCATGAGGTGCCCCATATGAGTTGCGAAACGGGGGAAAACAAACCGACGAAAGACAAACTACCATTTAGGGTGGTGTCAGCCAACCGTGTGCTGGGGTTTTGGTTGCACGCGAGCCACAGGGATGTACAGCTGATCTCCGACCACTGACCTGTCCGAAGACGCCACAGTGCGCTTGTAAGAATGGCGGATAAATGCTGCCATGCCAGTCTCAGCGAGTGCTGTGGCACTTGGCAGGAAGAAGCTGGCCAGGGTCCTGGGCCAGACTGCTCGGATCCCCTGCAAAAAATCACGCTCAAATCAACACGTTGTGCTTGCGGCCATCGTTTGCCCCGTTCGGTATGACTGCTTTTGGCGCAGGATCCCTCCAGCGTGCGCCATCAATTGGCTTGCGTAGGTTGAATGGTCTCCAGGATCCCTTAAACACGCACGCTATCATTTGGCCTGACATGGGTTCATTGGCTTCCGGGATCCCTTGAACGTGCGTGCAACCAGTTGGCGTGACATGCGTTCATTGGTTGCCCGGGATCCCTTGAACGTGCACGCTATCAGTTGGCCCATTGGGTTTCCGGGATCCCTTGAACGTGCACGCTATCAGTTGGCGCGGCATGGATTCATTGGTTTCCGGCAACCCCTGAACGTGCACGCTATCAATTCGCCATGGGTGCATTGGTCTCCAGGATCAGCACACATTGCACATGTAGGGCATACGATGGCCGTGCAGCCGAAAGGGAATATAGAAAAAAGAGCCAGGCAAAAAGTTCAAAAGGCCAGCCTTCGGTCAGGCAACCTCCTGCGCATGGAATACAGGAGGGCGTAGCCAAAGCCGATGCTGGCGAAAACCACGGCGCAGCCCATAGTTGCAACAAAGAGCTGCATGGACCACTGCAGGCTTGGCCAAAAAGCGCCTTGTGGGATACTTCTGGCGCGTGATGCGATACATAATGAGAGGCTGCGCAATGAAAACCCCAAAGACCCCAATATATGGCAGAAAGAACTCGGAGATGGACACGATAAGTGAGGCGCTTATGAGTTTCAAGGCCACGGCGAGAGCCAGGCTGATTACGCATGTCCAATACGCTCTCCTGACATGGAAACCGAGAACATGTCCTGGATCAGCCACTGGCCCAGGACAGGCCCACTTGCCAAATCAATCAAGGTTCTCCACCATGGGGTCTGCCCACTTTCTGCTGATGCTTCCATGCGAATGGAAATTGCCCATCTCGCGCAGAGAAAAACCTTACCCCAAAGCAAACTGAAAGGAAATAAAAGTGAGAAACCGAGGGGCTTCTTTGGTGACCTCGGAAAACCTGCGGGGGCTCGAATATCCTCCAGTCAGCACGCTTTCCGTAAGGTCGATCTTTTCGTATCTTGGCAGTAGTGATTCACAATGACTATTGTGAAGCCGTACATGCGTTTCTTGAGCCAAATGGCAATGTGCGTGAAACAGTGTAAAGAAATGACCCACATACTATTCACACCCCCCACGCAGTATGCTTCATTCTGAAACATCTGCGCAGAGGCGTTGAAATTGTGGCCGGGAAATTTCTTCCTGGGTCCACTATTACGCAATCACACTATGCCGGCTCATAAATACAATATGTTGAATCAATTTTGTCTTGCAAATCTTGAGTCGTGAAACGCTCAAAATTACTGGACACGACCATGCCCAAATCTTGGCAAGGTGTTGGCAATAGGAATGCTCGAGCAAATGAGCGCATGATTGAAATCATCCTCATGGGAGGATGTAATACCTTTGGCGGCCCCCGTATCCGCGATCCGGTCCCATGGTCGTGGTAAACACCGAACTCAGCGTGATCCGATGGCAATTCGCATGGCTTTGCGTATTCCGGGAGTCCCCCGGTCAGCGCTGTATTACATCGAGTTACCATCCTTCTTCACCGTCTCCATGAACTCGGCGTCAGCTTTGTGATTGGGTAAGTGGTTGCGGATGACCGAGGTTTCCGAGGCAAGTCCTGCCGCGCCAACCGATCGAGTATCTGACCAGCCCCTTCATCATGATCGAGTTCTCCTCCATCGGGTCATGCGCACGAGTTCGGGCTTGGGAGCGGCCACCGTTTGGGTGCCGGTCCTGTCTCTCTGGTTGCTTTCCCTTTGTTGGCGGGCTTTTCCTCCTTCGAGCCGCCGCCATTGGCCGAAAATAACGACCTTCTTGCTGTCATCGGATGGAGTCTTCTTCTCTTCCTTCAGCAACCGAACCATTGTCTCCGCCTCCGGATTCTGACAGTCCACGAGCTTGTGATCGTTCGTGCGGCATACGCGACAATCATTCGCTTCCTAGGCGTTCAATGCCGCCGGCTCCGTCTCCATTTCGACGTCCTTGTCGCCACTTGTTTCGTCGGAATCAATTCTCTCAGGGGACGGTACATCATCTCCACTCTACCGATCACCTTCTCGGGGTTCTGGTTACGTGCTATAGTCGGGATCAGGGGATAAACCCTCAGTCCCTTCCTGGCCATCTTCTGCGTCAACCATAACGACGTTTTCATCCTCTTCAGTCCTCCCCAGCTCCGGACTCCAGCTTCTCATCGAAGAGCATGTTGAACGCATCATTCTCGACGTGTTCTCTGCAGAACGCGCCGCAATATATTCCCCCTTCGTCGTTTTCAGAAGGACATTGGTATACGGGTTCCGGCAACTGCAAACCATTCCATCACCCCAGCATCGCGACCCCTGAACGAACAAGGCCTGGCTTGGTGTCCTTCCGATTGCTAGGCGGCATGCTGTACCGGTAATCCTGACCGTAAAAAGGAGGGAATGTTCTAGTCCATGAAGGATGGCGCCAACGTCCCCCCAATCGAGGTGTTCCGTCACCACCATACACGAAGAATACCCAGGTGCAACGCGAAGTGCACCAAGTACTGCTTCAATGGCGTCCCCCATGATCTCTTCGTTCCGCGTCTCCCCGAACAACATCGTGAGGTGCTGAGGTTCGAACATCTCGGCCCACCATCCTGCATAGGCCCGATTGCCTGGCATCATGGTGGAAGACAACTGAATAGTCCGAATGCCAGGCTGTTCGCCTTGTTGCGATGAAGCCATGAAAGACCCTCATCGGCCGGAAATGGAATCACACCCAGATGTGAGAACGCCTTTTGAGAGGGCGAATCGATCTCTCAAATCATCGACCGGGTTCTGCAGTGGACCTGGCCTGCGCCAGACATTTTCGGAACCTGTGGAAGCTTGCTCGAACCTGACTCCAGAGCTCCCCAAACCTTATCTGAGACCCCTTACCTTTCAGCTGCCGGGCAAAAATGCAATAGTGACCCACATTCTATTCACAAAAACTCTCAAGACCGAAAATAAACATTGTTGTCACAACCAGGAAGGCCAACTTGCTCGGTCTCTGCTGAGAAACAAAGTGGACCGCGCAACTCGTCAGCGCCCAGCGCGTGGAAAAGGTGCCGAACGCCTTGAGCTGCTCCTCGCTCACTTCAACACCCAAGGTCTCAGCCACTTGCATGTCCGCATTCAGCACGACGTGCCTTGTGGCCATGATGGTGGAACAATGCGACAAACCCCCCCCTGGCCCCAACTTTTGGGGGGCGCCAGGCCCAAGGGCGCAAAACCAAGCTGCCCGGACATTTCCACCACCAGCCGCTCATCATCCCAAACGCGCACGTGTCGCAACTGGCCCTCCTCCGAAGTAACTTGGCCTCAAGCAATCACTTCCGAGTAGATTTGTCAAAATCGTCTGGAGTGCAACGAAAACTGCCAGTCCGCCTCGGCAAACCAAAAGCTCCGTGTTTTGGCGCCCGACACTTTCGGGAGCCAAATCGTCGAGAGACCCTTGAGGAAGGCAAAGCGTCGAACATTTTTTTACAAGCTAAAAGCGTCCACCCTGGAATCCAAACACGACGCGTCCAACACCCTTTGAGCAAAGAATGCAAGCAAACACAACAATGTGGATTGACCGTTATAAGCGCACGCCCAAAACCCGGCTTGTTCAAAGCATCCAAAACCAAAAGACATTCTGTTTGGGTGACTGCTTTAGGCAAGTCCTCGTCATAAGTAAACTCCCCCCCCCTCGCCCCTTCCCCCTCGATCGGAAAAAAACATGTGTCCAGGCAGGATGTAACGGCTGGTGGGAACCAGCCCAGCCCCTACAAACCAGGAGCGTCGACATAGAAGGCCCAAACAAACGGCACAGCAGCAACGGCAGGCAAGTGGCAAGGCCAATGCGTCCTACTAATGCAGATTCTAGCGGGGCGGGAGCGTCCCTGCTTTTGCGCCCACAATCTCGCCCCCGAAGCTCCAATGACAAACCTCAAGCAAAGCCTCTTGCAGGTCAGGTTTCGGGATATCGCAAAACCTGGAGAAAAAAACGTGCTCGGGGAAGCCAATGCGCTCGAACAAATCGATTGTCCCATTTTGCGGGGGGTCAGACCTTGACAATGCTGGACAAGTGGCAAATGCGGCCGGTCAGGCTCCTGCGTAGCGGTTGCTCTGGCCCGACTAAAAGAACTTTTCGCAGGTCGGTGGGCCAAGGCTGGTTTTCAAAAAATCCAGTCATAGGCTGTCATAGGCGCAATGAACTATTGCAAAAAACAAGCGTGGGAACAAAGCGCTCACCCTTTCTATCTACACGTGTCTTTAAGCAGTTGCCCCATTCCACGAAAAATGTAAGGGAAGCGTACTTATTTGGTTGGTCCGTATTAAAATAAAGTAAAGAAGCAACCAGGTCGGCGTCCAAGGCTCATGGCATCTGGCCCCAGTTTGGTGAAGTAGGTCTGCCTTTTCGTGCCCAGGCGGTGCCCCAGCTTGGAGATGGGCTCCGAGCTGTGTGGGGGCCGCCACAAGAAGACCCCCGAGCGGAAGCCTTCTGAGCCGAGTGAAGATGTAGGTAAATCCTGGGCTTCTGCCAGAAGACAGGGAACGATTTCGCACAAAGCGCTTTTCCTTGCCATTGGTACCCCACTTCGGGAATAAATGCATACAGGTGTATATTCCTGAGAACTCCCTCGGGCCAAACTAAACGCCGCTGCAATTTTCGGGCGCGAACGCAAAAAACTGCTGAATTCAAGAAACGCCGTCAGTTTTCAAGATACGTGCCCCTAGCTGATCCAAATCAACTCAGGCCCTGGGCGCAAGGCGGCCTTTGGCCCGCGGCAAGGTGGTTTTAGTTACATCCGTCCCTGGTGAAGATGCTGTGAAGAACTTCATCAAGAAAGCCGAGCTCCGCCGTTGGGACGCGCGTTTCCGCCGTAGGGACGTAGGTTTCCGCCGGCGCACGCCGATGATTTGTCCAACAAACTGCAGGTGTCAGATCTTGCGAAGCAGACCGCAAAAAACGCCGTCGCAAATTGAAAACGCCGCCACGAGCCCCTCCCCTTCGCAAGAACCCGACCTAAGTACCAGATTTTGACACCCGAGCTCTCCGAGCTCTTTTCCAAGACACTTTACGCAGACCATTCACACTCAGACTAGACCCACACTACTCATGCCCTATCGTGCTCGCAGACTACTCGCCTCTGTGCAGATGTTGACCCCAGCCAATGATTACTCCTTTCTCGCGGTGAAAGGGCATCCCCCAAAGAACATCGCAAAAAAAAGAGCCCCCTCAAACCCAATATTGGTTCTTCTTCCCTGCCTCTGGCAACCAGATGTTTTCCTACAACTCCATAAATACAACCAAGAAGGAGCATCAATTCACGAAACAAACGCAAGAAGGCACACCAAATCACACCAAATCACACCAGGGGTGTGGGAATTTGGCTCTGCGATACCAGCTGGAAGACTTCGCGCGAATTCTCAATTTGGTACTTGTTGGCTCCCTAACTTTCTGATGTCGGAGAAGTCGGAACCAACCCACCACGACGAGTGAGACAAAGAGTCCCCGTTCAAAAGTGTTCAAATTTGTCATCTTCCAGCCGCCCAACGACAAGTCAAAAGTTCCAAAGTCATGCTTGTTTTGGACAAGTCTATGTCTGGCAAGGACTCCTCCACTGTGACCTCATCATCATCTGTGATCAAAATGTGCGCCAGCCGTCCGCCAGCTTCAACCCGGCGTCTGGCAAGGACTTCATCTGCCCGCCCGCCAGGTCCGATGATGATCAGGCCTTGGAACCCGGACCCCTCACCCACAAATCAGGGGTTCATCCCGGGTTCCGATTTTTGCCCGCCCAAAACACTTCTTAACTTGTTTGCCGCTGACGAAACACACATATGTTCGATAGTTTAAGCAAAGGCCCAACCAACCAGGACGAGAGGCAGAAGTCCTTGTACCGCTGGCTTGAAACCACATTGCCGCCTTTCCATCCCGGAGCCTCGAAAAAGCCTAAATCAGGCTGAACGCGCATGGCATCTCCACTTTGCGGCGTTCTGCCGGCTTGGAGTCTTGAGCCATCGAAGCAGCGTCGCAAACCCAAAGAGCCCTGGGGGACGGTCACTTTTTGGGGGTTGCAAATTGCGCAGGGAAATCATGTTGGGCTCCTAAAAAAAGGCCCGAAGAAAATTGATATTCAAGGTTGACCTTTTGTGACCTGGCCCGAAACAGGAAGCGCAAAGGTCAAAAGGTCGATTCGCTTGCAAGAATGCGGAAACCAACTTGGGATGGGTCGCATTTTGTCCAAACTCCCCGAACTCCTCTAACAGGTCCCACCTTGCGGCGCGCGCCGCCAGGTCTGCGAGATCCTCCTGCTGCGCCCGCAACTCGATGGCACGCAACGTGCTGAGGTCGTCGCTGTCCTGCGCAGACCGTGGGATTGAGCGGTGGATTCACTGGGTGGGCGTGGGGGAAGTGGAGAAGAGCTTGATGCGTCGGGGAAGGGCTTGCGCCTGAATGGCTCTAAAGGAAGTGGGATGCTTCCTGACTGCCAAAGAATACAATGCGGGTCAGTGTTTCGACCCTTCCGGGATTGCAAACTAGTCTGGGTCTCTCAACCTGAAGCTCTGTCAAGGCAAGCAGCACTCACTGTAAATGCAAGTGCCAGAAGAAATGAGACGGTGACTCGCAAGATCAGATTTCAAAGCCACACAGGAGCAAACGCGGGTGATGGCTGATGTAGTTGTATCCAATGCACACGTTTGAGCGGCTTGTTTGACGCATACCTGTCTCTACTTAACACTATGCCCGGAACAACAACTTTTATAAATAACCAGTCATGGTCCAAACCGTGAAACGCCGCAAGATGGAAAAAGCACTGCTGTACAGGGATTGGCAAGCTCGCCATAAAAGAGGCAGAAACATGGACCCCCAAAAGACAACTCTGGGGCCACTGAAAGCGTCACCCCCAGCCGCGGTGGGCGGTGGCAACTCAAGGTAAAACAACCTAACAAGACACAACTGCTATGGCACAGCTTCGATGCACATAGCACAAAGGGTCGGCCTACACGCAAAGAAGCAGAGAAGGGACGCAGCGACCTGGGGCTGCTCGGAGGGTCAAAACAACAGCCAGCGCCCAGCAGGAACCACCAGCAAGCAGACAGGGCAAGGCGGGGCCAAAAGACCGGAGTGACAGCGCGGGACACAGCAGCCACCCGACCACGGGTCAGGAAGAGGGGCCTGCAGCCGTTGCTCGGTGGCGGGCAGCAAGCAAGGAGCTGAGCAACCTGTAACCTACCTCGGCTGGATGGATGCAACCACTCTGTGTCCGCGTTCCTTGTCAAAGCATCCCATTTCTGCAGGGCTCCCTACATCTACCCTTCAAACACCCAACCGAGCCAACAAAAGCCGGGCAACCGGGAAGCCGGGAAACCGCCTCGCAGCGCGCCAGTGCCAGTTCCATAGTCACCCGCAGGATCTGCTTCTCACAGAGTTGCTCCATGGCCTGCAAAGAAGCCAAGCTGCTGGCCAAGTGGCTGGGGGCATTTTCTCACAAAAACAAAACACCGGCTAGAATAGCAGAACATCACTAACTTAGTCACTAACCTTGCTTTTGCTCAAGCCTTTGATGCTTGACCCTGAAATTTACATTGGGAAACCCGGCCACATGCACCGGCCGTGGGGGGCAAAGGGAGTCGAATAGTGACACTTGCCCTCAGCAAGTTTGCAGGGATGGAAAGGTCACTCATTTTGGAAAGCCTCTTTTCAGCTGTGGGAAAACTGCCGATGGAAGGCAGCAGCCCTAAATAATTCGAATGCGCGTTGCTCGACATTTCAGCAACGACGCCAGCCAAATGTTCACCGAGAATTGTCCGAGACTTGTCAATTCCTAGGTGGCAGAACGACAAATGTAAGTCCATGGGCTTTAGTTGAGAAGCCGTCCACTGCCCAACCGTTTCTGCACACATGTTTCAGTCGGGCAAACAATTGCTCCTTGATTAAACGGGGGCAGTGGCATGGGCCTTTTCGACCTTCCGGGCTGAGTAAACATGCTTCACGCCTACAGCTATGGGGCGTTGGTTCTCGATCTTTGAATATGGGAACCCTCGTGCTCCAATTGCATCACCATTTAAATCAACTGGTCCATCGGCGTGCATCGCAATGTCAAGTATGGGGAGGTACTGCCAGAACCAAGGATTGGCTCCGAGCAACTGCTTCCCGGACACACGCTTGGTTTAGGCCAAAGACCACAACAAGGGAGGTTGACAAACAGAAAAAGGCCGGGGCTCGCTCTGTCTGGCAATTACCCCTGAGCCACCTGGGGCCGGGTCCCGCCAGTCCCGCCTGCCAGCCGCAGGCCTGGCAAGCACGCAAGCGGCAACCAACCAAGGTCCAGCACCAAGTTTCAGGACGCCTCGAAGGCTTCTTAGGTCTGGGAAGGCCAACCTTTGGAGGGCTCGAGCCTGAAAAGACAGCACACGGACTGCAGCGACATTGCCATAGTTGCACACTGGGGAAAGGGGCTGAAAACACAAAAAGCGGCCCAATCCTTCCCTCAGCTTTTTGGCTGGGAGGTGCTAAAAAATTAGCCACGTTACTCTCTTGCAATCCCGACTGAATGCACCCCAACCCCACTCATCATTTAGGCATGAGCTTAAATATGTTTCCCAGAATTAAAGTTTCCCTCTGTAGTTTTCTTGCAAACTCTACAACAACCCCACCACCGGGAAGAAGGGACACCCCCGAATCAGTGAGCTCGCCATGAAAAAAGGAGCCCTAGATCACATACAGGGTGCCAAATATTCAATCAGAGGGTGAGCTGAGCATATTTCTGAGTGACTGACACCTTCTTCTTGTCTGGTTTCCTTTCGGGGAAACAACACCTCCGCCAGGCGCCGCTTCTCACTACCCGGACCACTGACCCTCGGAGCCCGGAGGGCCCGCCTGGGCCTCGGAGCGCAGCTGCGCCAGGGCCGGCAGGGGCCCGGCGAGGCGTTTCTCGCCCAGCGCCAGGGCGTGCCTGGCGCGAGCTTGGGGCCCAGAATTCGCGTGGAACCCGGGACATACATCAAGTGACCCATGGAGGAAACTTATCATAATCTGGGGAACCACCCCCCCCCCCAAAAAAAAAAGGAACTTTGCCTCGATCAATCCCCGCCCTCCGCACTCACGAGCTTTCGACCGTTACAACAAATTCCTCCGCATCCTAGAGACTTCGACTCCAAATTCCCATCGGCCCTTTTGCACATTCAGCAAAACCAGACTGGCGAGCTGCTCTGGCGGGATACTGGCGGGGTCTACTGGCGAGCCTCGATACTGGCCGGATACTCTACTCAAACAGATCGAGCCGCTCTGGGATACTCGGCGGGATCCACTGGCGAGCCGCTCTGGGATACTCGGCGGGATCCACTGGAGCAGCTCTGGCGGGATACTGGGCGGGATCCACTGGCGAGCAGCTCTGGCGGGATACTCAGCGGCGCTCTGGTGGGGTACTCGGCGGGATCCACTGGCGAGCCGCTCTGGCAGAGATGCTTGGCGGGATACTCAGCGGGATCCACTGGCGAGCTGCTCTGGCGGGATACTGGGTGGGGGCGTGGTGTAGAAGCATCGCAAACGCGGATTCCAACATAAAATCTACCAACCCCTTCCTGTTGGGTGGGGAAAAAAAGTTTTATTGACAGATATGCCCGGCTACCCACACCAAGCTCACTTTTTGTGCCACATCGGCGCAGAAAGAAAGCAGGATCAACCCCAGCAGCAAAAAAGCCACGCCTCTGCACCTCGTCCAGCCCATGCGCTGCGGCGGTTTGGTACACAGCGCCCAGGTCAGCCAAGGCTGCATCCTGGACAGGTTGGGCAATCAATAGCAAGTCTTGAAAGAAAAGCCGTGATGGTAAATGAGTGGGCCTGCAAAAAAATCATGAGAATACGTCCATTCGCTAAGGTGCGCTCTGGGATGAAATTTGAACGGATTGCCCAATGCTTCCAGGTGCCACTGTAGATACGGAAAGCCACTATCGGGACCAGGGGTCATGGATTTCTCCGTCAAAAGCTACGTGAGTCAGTTGTGCTTTCCGGCGTGAACTACGGTACCACTTTCGGAGGTCCAAGGCAGAAACTCGTTCGGATTCTCGCGCGAAGTCTCCCTTCTGCCCCAAACAGACATCCTGGAGAATTAAAAACAACAAAGCAGAAACCCCTTTAAAAGGCAATCCTCAAAACCTCGGGGCAACGCCACTTCCGCCCAAGGCGCGGATGTCGCAACATGGAGCAACCCCAAGATGTGGGGTGTCCTTTCAGTTTTCCTTGAACGCCAACCATAGGAGGCTTTGGGTAAAACCGTTTTTTGGAGCCTTTCCTCGGTACCTTCTGCTCCCCTGCTTTTTTTGCTTTTTGTTTTTGTCTCTTAAACTTCTAGTGGTTTAATTGCAAATCCATCAGTTGGCAAACAGTTAAAGTCCTAACATCCCTTGGCAAAATGCACCAATGTTTCTTTTGGTTTCAAAGGGAAACCAGACGCACTGGAGACAAGTCTTACCCATCCTCCGCTGCCAGCAGCGCCAGGCGCTGCTGGAGCTGCTGGCCATAGAGCCGCTTCTGCAGCTCCAGCACCTGAGAGGAGCTTGTCCTAGGGCCCCTGAAAAAAGACTGCCCCATCTCCACGGATCCTTCTTTCTGAGAAGAACGATGGCCATAGCTGTGAGAAACCATGGGCGGCTATGGGTTTGATGAGGCCTTGCTTGGAGGAAATAAGGTGTGTCGGGGCGATTGGGAGCCACGGATTGGGTGATGTGTCGGACAAAAGAAGTTCTACCAACTGAAGACAAGTTGTATTCATCATGTTTCAGGTGGCTGTTGCATGCAAGTGTCAAACCAAATCATATGGCACCTAGCCACAGTGGAGAACGAGATAAATGCCTCCATCGGTTGTACAATGGGCAAAACAACTAATTTCCAAGAGAACCGGCGTCGATTGAAATGATCCGTGCGCGACAAATTCCACACCTCGCGAGCCTGAGCTAGCGCAGGGTGTGCCTTTCATGAGGGTTTTGGGGGTACCCTGCGGTGGCTGCAAAGAAAAACCAAAAGGAAACCGTCATACCCAAGGCAGCGCCGCCCGCCTCTTTGTACACATTTAGCTTCTCCATGCCCTTCTCCCTCGCAAAGCGCAAGGCGTTCCTCATCTCTGACTCGACGCCTGCCCGACAAAGCGACATCGAGGGCAGGTCCCAAGAACAGACATCGCGACTGTCCAGGACACCACCCAAAAAAGCGGCGTTGCCCAAAGCTGGAAACCAACGAGGGAAAACCAAAGGTCCCATCCAGTCAATTTGCGTTGGGCAGGTGAGATGGTGAGAGAGATGGTGAGATTCCCCTGCCTCAGCTTGGGCTCTGCCTGAAACTAGGGGTTCCTGAACCAAAATATTGCCCCAGACATGGCGCGGTTCCCATCCCAACAAATGGTGGCGTCCGCCCAAAATTGCGGCTTTGAAAGTGTGGCTTTCCACCCAGAATCGCAGCCTTCTGCATAAAATTTGGGGCAACCGGTGGCTTTCCCGTTGGCTTCCCTTTAAACCCCACCCACCAAAACTACTTAGGGGTGCCTGCATTTCCACTTGAGCCCATGTAAACATCACCTTTTGGACTGCTTCTAGCTGAGTCTCCCTTTTGAAGGGAAGCTACAGCAGATGCGAGTAAAACTGGCATCCATGCCAGCCGCCCCATGGTGGCCTGCTGTCAAGTACAGGGAGCCCCGTTCACATGTCGCTTCGCGCGCTCGGAACTTCGCCTGAGTCCGCCGCCGCCAGCAGGCGGCAGGTGACGAGGCATGCTACAGCCTCCGTCTTCGCCGGGAGCTCCACCTAGCAAGGTGCAGCCGGAGTGACCTTGTGATGGCGCTGGGGGTGAGGGAGAGGGGAGGAGGGAGCGCAAATAAGTCCTTCTCGGGCCTTTAATGAGGCCTTACTACAGCAAAACTTGCCCCCCAGCCCCAATGATCTTCTCGATTCGCAACAAGGATAAACATGACTTGGCCCACATCTGTACAAACATTACAACAGTCAAATTGTTCATATTTAGTCCATCCTGAATGTAAAGTTGTTTTGAAGGACACCCCAAACAAAGTCCACTATCTGGGGAAGGGTGGGGGGCCCAGAGTGATTGTGTGTACATGTGTTTGTTTGCTTGTGTGGTAGTTTGGTTGCTTGTGCGTGTGCTTGTTTGCTTGTTGGTTTGTATGGTTGTTTGCTTGATAGTTGTTTGTTTATTGTTTGTGTGCATGTTTGTTTGTGTTGTTGCTTGTTTGTGTTGTTGCTTGTTTGTGTTGTTGCTTGTTTGTTTGTTTGTTTGTTTGTTTGTTTGTTTGTTTGTTTGTTTGTTTGTTTGGTTGATTGATGGATTGATGGATTGATGGATGGATGGATTGATTGATTGATTGATTGATTGATTGGTAGATTGGTAGATTGATAGATTGATAGATTGATAGATTGATAGATTGATAGACTGATAGATTGATAGATTGATAGATTGATAGATGGATCGATGGATCGATCGATCGATTGATCGATTGATCGATTGATCGATTGATCGATTGATCGATTGATCGATTGATCGATTGATCGATTGATCGATTGATTGATTGATTGATTGATTGATTGATTGATTGATTGATTGATTGATTGAGTGCGTGTTTGATTGTTTGCTTATGCGATTGCTTGATTGATTGTTTGCTTGTGTTTGTATGCTTGGACTCCGCTTGCTGGCTTGCTTGCTTGTTTGCTTGTTAGTTCGCGTGTTTGTTTGCTTGTTTGATTGCTTGCTTGTTCGTGTGTGTTGCTTGCTTGCTTGTTCGTGTTTGTCTGTGCGTTTGCTTGTTTGTTGCTTGCTTTCTCTTTGCTTGTTTAATTGTTTCCTTGTTCGTTTGTTTGCTTGCTTGTCTGCTTGCTTGCTAGACTACTTTCTTTAGTGGATTCATCGCCGTAAGCCTTCAAAATTGCGTGTGCGTCATCCTGCCCAGCCCAAGTTCGCGCGCCTCTCGTGCGCGAAGCACTGCCGCCTCCATCTCGGCCTCGTTGTTGCTGGCCACTGCCGCGACCCTGTGGCGCGTCCCGGGCCCCAACAAGAAGCTTAATATAAGGAGGTACCATTTGGAGGTTGGGCAGAGAACGTGGGTTGCTACCTGAGCGCTTTCATGCCAAACTAGGGTCTCCGTTTCTTCAGAAGAAGTCAAGCTCCTGCATCGCAACCTCAGGAACACTTATCCAAGATGCTCCGCAAACCTCCGGCAAGATGCTCCAAGATGCCATAAGTTTCGGAGAGCGGGTGCACTCGGGCGGGAGGGTCCCCGTACCGGGCCGGCAAGTTCAGGCCAAGGAGAGCCCACGCACACACCACCACCACCTTTCATTTTATCACATCAAGTACCACCTCCTCCCCTCTTTCCGGTTTCTCCGGCTCAAAGAAAGCCGGGCGGCAGATCCGACTTCAAGGCCAGGATGAGCCTGAGCTGAGCGCCACAGAGTGCCCGAGAGCGCCCAGCCAGGACAAGACTCAAAGAGGCCCCTAGAAGTTCCTCGGGCTGGAAACATCAAACTTTCTTCCTGAATGGACGACTCTGCACCAAGCTGCCAGTCGATGAGTAATGAGTGGATTCTCCAAATTAGTCCAAATTCGAATGATTGAAAGGGAAGCCACTGGCAAGGGTTGGCAAGGTCACCAACCGATCTCCATAAATATAAGGCGCTGAATATTTTGCTTGGATTGCCGTTGATGGAATGCTTGTGCCATCTTGTGCCGATTCAAGCCCCCACTACCTGTTTGAACCACTCTAAATTAAGCAAGGGTCTCCTTCACCTTCGGCTTCCTTTATTTTTTATAATAAGGGGATCGGTGGATGGTTCTATTTAAAAAAAATGGGTGTCTTAAAATGGACCCCCCCAACGAAAAAAACATGTGCTCCAATTCAGTGTCCCTCTTAAACCATCCCCCAAAACGGGGTTCCCAGCCTCCCAAACGGGGCCGCCCCCGGGGCCCGAAGCCAGCCCGAGCCGTTGCTCCGCGCGGCTCCTTGATCCGCAGCTCCCGGTCCTTGGCGCCCTGGTCGATGGAGAGCTCCGCCTCTGCGAAGAGCCGGTCCTCGGATGGGTTCGATCTAAACAAAAAGATATATACATATATATAATATACAAACTTACCCAAAAAAAAACGGGCGGGGGGGGGGGGGGGGGGAGAAAAAGGGGTAAGGCTTCATACATCACACAAATCCACGGGAAGAACAGGGGTAAGGCTTGACGCGCCACACAAATCCATGGTAGGGAAATCAATGAAAAAACCCATAACAGTTTAACCAATCTGAAAAAACCATGGGTAAGGGCTTAATACATCACGCAAATCCATGGGTAGGTAGGGTTTCATCAATCAGACAACTAATCCATCGGTTGCGGCTGGGGTAGGTAGGGTTGATACCTTACCCTCATCATTCCTCTGGGGGTGAGCACGTTAGGACTTCTTCATAAATACCGCCAGCCCCAACGGCTCCAACTACCGGAGATGCGGCTAAGCCGTTTTTTGGCCCAAAGGCTCACAGGCGTCCCAAAACCATGAGACGAGGCGCCAACTCCTGCGGGCTGGGCCGGGGCATGTCGGGCAGCGCTGAAGGCTCGTGGTCCACCCACACGATGATGTCCATGGCCAAGGGGTCCACCTCAGCACCAACTCTCATGGGGGTTTGCCCTTTTGGTGCGCCGGTGCTCGCTGAGACCGAAGAAGGGCCCTGGAATGGTTTGACCTTTGGCATGAGCCCTTGCAATGGCTCCCCTTGACAGCCGCTGGGGCCTAGCAATAGATGCGGGCCGTTTGACCCAAAAAACCTCTCAAGTCAAGGCGCGCGTTGTCGCTGGCCCGGCTCCAACACCACCAGCTTCCACCAACCGCCGAGACCTCCGCCGTTGGAGTCGCCCTCCGTGAGTTGCAGCCAGGAGCCGGAGGGGCCGCTGGTCGGCAGGGGCTCCTGCGCGCTTTGGCTGTGCTCTGTGGTGTCTAGGGGTCCCTTCAAAACCAAGCAAAAGGGACCCCCACGAAAAAGACACACAACGGGCTTGTCTGGTTTGGAAGGGAAAGCTTTTTGGGGTTGTTGCATGGAACCATTTGCAGAACTGCTGCACATGGAGTGCTTTGCTCAGCTGCACCTTTGGCTAGAACGGCCCGACAACAAAAAGAGTTTGCTGCGGTTGGGAAGAACTTGGCGTGGATCCAGCTCTTGAATGGAACATGTGCGTGAGTTGTCAAAGCAACAGCCAGCCGAAGCAGTTTGCGAAACCCGCGGGGGAGGTCGCCACAATCTGGCACAATGGTCCGCTTGACCTCACCAGGCACAGCTTTTTTGAAAATGGTCGTATCCAAACGGTGCTGCTCATTGGGGACCCCCATCCCCAGAATTACTTAAGAAGGTTGACGTGTGGTCTGGCATCACCCGGCAGTTTACCGGCCATGATTGATGGTTAAGGTCCTGATTGGGCAGCTCAGCCGCAAAGTCTGCGTGGGGTGTGGGGTGAACAAGCTGGCAGTGGTTGGTTGCATGGGGTGGAGCAGGTTGGATTGCAACCTTCTGGTGCTCTCCGAACAGCGCTGGTCTGGAACTGGCTCTGTTGGCTGAATTCTGCCCTCTCCGACCTGACTGGATCCGTTGGCAATGCGTCTTTCATTTACCTTTTACCAGCGAGTTGTTGCCCGCAGACTGCCCCCCCCACCTTCACCCAATTCCCAGTTTTTTACCGTCTGCCTTGAAAAACAGGGAAACCACAGCCCTAGCAAGCGTGACTCTTGTGCTTGCTAGCTGGCCAATGCTTAATCATATCGCATGGGTATCACCCTTGCCTCGCCAACTCGATCTGCCAGCCAAAGTGGCGATCGAATACGGCTCGTTCATGAACTTCACAGGTCCCAGACAATGAACAAAGCCGCCCCCCCCCCTCCCCCCGGCCGCCTGCGCGATGAGGGAGTGCTCGATGACCTCTGTGAGGCCCCACTCCTTGGAGCCAGTTGCCTTTCCAATTGAACAAAAAGGCAAATGCCTTCCCACAGACGCATTACCAAATTCAAGGCAAGCTTTCGAAGGTAGCACAGAGAAATAGACCAGGTGGAACAAGCCGACTCAAAAGGTGTGTCTTGGACAAAGGTCATGTTCCCATGTTCCTTCAGCCAAACCTTCCAACGTGAACAACATTGGCAAAGATGTTAATGTGGGCCATGCTTGCCCAGGTTTGCCCTCCATGGATCACATGTTGTTACATATGAGCCACATGGATTGGGATTCCTTCCACCCGGCGAGACCCCGCAACCGGAAGGCTTGGCCAAGCTTCTACTGGCTGGCGGTCCGCGAAGACCTCGAAGGCGGGCACCTGACGACTTCGAGCCCGGACTCAGTTGCCAAACCAACATCTTGTAAGATATGCCCCCGCCACCAATTTACATGGAACCTGAAGGGGGGTCCCTTTACAAAAGGACGATTTTCTGCCAGGAACCCCCCCCCCCCCCCCCTTGTCCGGTTCCATGTTAATTGATGGGAAGGTAGTTATTGTTCTTTGTGGCCGCTGCTCCTTCTGAGGGTGGGGCCAAGGGACCCACCCCGAGCAGGAAACATATGGATAGGTAACTTGGCCTTTTGTTCTTTGTTTTTTTGTGGGTAGCCCCTTTTGGGTTAGTTTGCAGGGAAGCCAAAAGAACACCAACCATTTAGGGTGTCCCCCTATATTGGCACATATTCACATGTGCTTGAAGACGAGAATCCTTGCAGGGAAGCCAAACCCAATATGATATAAAACAGGAGGAGACTTTGAGACAAAGTTTGCTCTTCAACTCACCCTTGGTCCAGGAAATTGCATCAACATTGGAGCCCAAATCATGTTCGAGCGACCCCGGCCAAAACAACCAAGCAAAGGTGATGTTCTAAACTTCTTTACCACCCAACATTGTAACATGGTCCACAGGTGATGCGCAAACCGTAAATTTTGTAAACCTTCCCAACAAGGCCGCGGTTTTTGCAGGACCCGCCTTGAGCGCCAGGCCCACCAAAGCCGTGACGTGTCGGCGATGGCTCTCGCGGCTCAGCTGGCAGGTCTCCTATGGCAGTCCCCGAAGCGGCCGGGGGGGGTCTTCCGGGTATGCGTCATAGGGCCAGCCCCCCACAAGTTGTGGCTTTCCTGGAAAATTTGTGGGGTACCCACAGAGACTCAAAGACAAGCACATATCTAAACAACCCGCAGGGCAATCTACCGGAAGCTATCCAAGGGATTTGAGGTTTGGCGAACTTCATGTATGCTTTTCCTGCTGGTTTCTTAGCTATCCCCTCCCACCATAGATAGCCCTGCACCACTCCTGCACCTTCCAACCAGTTTCATCCCCAAGGCAGGACCCCCCAAGGAAATTCGGCTGTCCATTCTGATTACACCTGTTGGGAGCTTGTCGGGCCTATGTCCCCATAGCATCTCTGAGATTGGGCGTTTTGAAGGGCAGGGATTCCTGCGGCACTTGATAGCTTGAGCCCGTGTGTGTGCGCTCACAAACTTATCTTGCAAACATGCTCCCGAAACAATGCCGAAAAACAGAAAAGCACTCCCCGCTTTACCTTGAACACGAACTGAACAGGTGATGTACATACAGCTTATGCCAGGGCTGTGGGGAATGACCACTTCTGTGATACAACAGAAAGGGCTTCCCAAAGACTATTTTGTGCATATCAAGGGAGATTCCCTTGTATCACAGAAGTGGGGAGAAACCCCTTGATCCCACAACCCTGGCTTCTGCTTATTTTCCGGTCACTCAGCTTGGTGCCTCACATCGCCCGCAAGCCCTGGCCAAGCCGCCGGATCCAAAGGGTTCGGCAGCTTCTTGGGCACTCGCAAGATGCAGTCCTCAGGTCGGCTCCCTGTCCCATGGACATCAACAGGGGGTGTTGGGAACGAACCTAGGGGAGCCCCCACAAAACCACGGTTCCAGCCGTGCTGAAAAAATATCTCATTCTCTTGATGGTGCCCCTTGTGCAGTTGCAGTCGCTCTGCAAGACTTGAAGGGACAAAAGTGTCTCCCCAAGCTCCTGGAAAAGTAGCTCCAGGGTTCTCCAACAATCTGGCAGGTCGCACTGGAAGGGGTGGAAGCCAAGCGACCGAACTACAAATTTGGGCTTGAAAGCGTTTGCTTGGGTCACGGCTTGATGCCACCAGCTCAGGAACTGCATCCGGGCGTCTTGGAATTCTCGGGGGTCCGACGTTGTGGAGAAAACCGGCGCCGGAGCCTGAACCGCACCAAGCAATTCAGCTCTGCAAGAAAGCAAAAAAAATCCTGTGCCCCAAGCCCCACAACTTTTGTTGCCAACCACCGACCCTTTCCCCCAACAAATGATGGACAATTTGGATCGAACACCACGGTCACGGTGTCCGTCAGCGCAGTCAACGAGTCGCTTGGGCCAACCTTTGGGCGTGACTCAGAAGGCCAAAAGGGGCCTTGATGGCTATGGATGGGATGCTTTCCGCAGTGGCTGGAGCTCGTTGGAAGCCATTCCGCTTCGAATCCGACAGCATGTCTCCTCCAAGCTGTCTGGTGCTCCGGCCTTTGCCATCCCAAAGGGACAAGAAGCTTGAACCAATCGAAGATGTGATTCGGGCACGAGCCTGTGCCCAGGCAATGGGTAAGTTGGGGTAAACAAGCCACAAAAGAAAGGTTCCCCAAAAGCAAACCAATCCCCGGTCCCAAAGATCAGGGTTTCCCACACACCAGAGAACAACAACCAAAACAAAGAATAGAGTTACCCGCAACCTTGACCGACAACGGGCCGCACGAATGGTCCCTACCAACCTGACGGCGGCCCGAGGTCTCTTTCTCCCCCGAGATGTCGTCGGTCGACGCAGGGGTTCGGCGACGCCCATTCGAGGCGCGACGGAACCCGTGAAAACTTGAGCCAAAGTGGCACCGGATAGTTGCTATCGCAACATGCCGGTAGTCACCTGAAATACATGGCTAATCACACCCCCCTCACGAGGAGCCCGTCATATGACGGGTGGAGCGTGCCATTTACTGATAGGATTTAACTGCTCGCATGTGTCCGCAAACAGCTGGACACTACCGCCGTCAGAGGTGGAGCAAACCCACAAAGGCAGTTGCGCGACATCCCGGGCATTAAATTCCCGCCACCACCCCGAATTAATCGGGGTAACGCTGTCCAACATACCTTGTGGAAAAGTCCACATGACGACACTAGGTCACAACTGTTTGCATCAACAATGCAAGTAGTTCAATTCTTATCAGCAGCCATGAAACAAAGGATAACGTATGTTCATCAGTACCCTCGCCTACCGGCGAGAGGTACCCCTGACCATGCGTACCTGAAAAATGCTTGAATTCCGCAAACCTGGGAGTACCCTCCACCAGTTTGCTTCCCCTCTCACTCACACTACTTCATGAGGAGCACGACCAGCAGCCGAGCAGCGGTACGGGAGAGACATGATCTCCGCGCCTCAGCGGTTCGGAAGGAACATCATCACCTCCGCACCGCGCCGACCATTGGAGAATGGACGCAAGCCTATCGGCCGCAATCCGCGTGACTCAGCCTATCGGCTATGTCACGTCTCCTCCGGTCACGTCCGCCCCGCGCACGGTCCCTGTCACGATCCCTCTCGGATCTCCTGCGATCATCTTGCCTTCGATCTCGCTCTCGATCGAGCGAGTCATCATCAGGAATCCCTGGTGTCCAGAGTCCTAACGCACCTCCGAGAAGGAGTACGGGAAACATCCGAATCCCGACGCCCTCTCCTGAGGCGACGATCTGATTGAGAGCCTCCAGTGCTGAAGCATTCTCACCATTCCTGATGAAATCTCTAACCTGCTTGTTCAGCACCCTATTGCATGACATCGACAGGAAGGCGTCCACCACCGAACTCTCCGGCAACACCAGGAAATGACCTTCCACCGAGCTCGCAGCAGCTCGCTCAGCCGACTGCAACCTGAGCTCACTCCCTTCAGGCTTCTTCGCCATTGCCTTGGAGGCCGTCGAAGGCGCTATCGCGTCCTTTGCCGAAGACCTACCAAGCGCGGAGTGAAGATCATCTCCACTTGCCTCTCTCGCTGCCGCACCTGGCCTGCTGTCAACATCATCAGGTCTCTTTGATGCCTCCCGCTTTGTCGACTCCTTCACAGTCTCATCGGGATCCCAACGGGACTTTCTTTCTCTCTTCTGCTTTTGAGCTGATCCCCGACTACCGCCGGGAGCGTCGTCTCCGCCTACCTTCTCCTTCTTGACTTCAACCTTCGGGTCAGCCTGCTTAAGGTCTCCTTGGGCTCAGCCTTCGGAGCCTGAGCACTCTTCGCCTCAGGAACTGAAGCTGCCTTTCCCTTCGGCTCGGCCTTCGGCACTGGAGTCATCTTAGCTTTCGCACTTGGCCGGGCTCCTTCAACCGCGATCGCGACCCAAGTCTTCTTCGGTTGAGCCGCAGGTGCATCAACCTCCATTGGAGCCGGCCCAGCATCAGCCTTTGCTTTTGCCTCCGGAACAGTTGGGCTATCGCCCTTACCAGACCCTTTTCCTGGCACGTCACCTGACCTCGGTGGTGGGCCGGAAGGACTACCGCCCTTACCGCCCTTTTCACCCTTCTTCCCTTTTCCTTTCCCGCCCTTGATGATCGGCTCCTGCTTTGGACCAGGACCCTGTGCAGCATGATGCACCGACTGGAGCTCGTCAATGTTCACATTCATCGGCTCCGGTTGACGACCATCAAGAACCGTCCTCACCCTATCGACACTAACGTAGACGAATGGGTCACGGAAAGGGGCAGGAGGCTCTGATTGCCCAGCATTGATTGCCTTCTGCGCTTTGGCTACCGCCTCCCTCAATCTTCTCTTCTCGTCGTACCCCGTCGCCAAGACCATGTAGTTCCTGAGATCCGCCATCAATACATGTCTGCATCCTTCCTATGGGTCGGATACAAGGGAGTCAGGTGACCCGCCGCAGCACCAATCACGTACGCCATCGGGATATAGAAGGACAAATACGTGTCATGACGGGCGAACTTCCTAACGGAAGTCGTCATACGTCTTCCCCACTGGGCCGCATGCATCGGATTCGCTCTGAAGTACTCAGTCACCGACTCAAATCTATCGACTTGGTTGGTTTTGATCAGGTGCTTCGCCACCCACTTCTCCACGAATGCATCCGAGGCCGAAATCCCCGACACGTAGGAAAACTGAAAGAGCACCTTTGCCAGTTCATCCCACGCCGCATCGGCTCCTCCCTTATCCTCACCAAGATAAGGGGGCAGCCGGATGCCGCTCTGCACCGTCATCCTCAGGTCAGACGCCATCGAGTAGGAAATCAAGTTCCTCTTGATAACCCCGACCACATCGGATGCGATTCTCTTGGGCTTGAACTGTCCCATACTCTTCACCCAGTCCGGGACGATGCGGCTCCCCACGAAGTCACCTTCGTCCGCGTTGGGGATGAAGTTCGGGTAGAAGACCGGGAGCGCACACCCAGGGCACAAGTGCATCCCAGATGGCGTCATCTCCGCACACCGCAAACAGAAGGTGCTAGTCACATTCAACCTGACTGCCGCACGCGTCCGCTTGTGATCCCCCCGTCGGGAGTGAAGTCACCGTAGTCCCAAGCCCGGTGATACACTATCGTGTAATCATCGAACATGTAGGCCTTCCACGCACCCATGTGGATCTCGTTCCGAACGGCAAGAGTCTTCCTCCTCGTCAGAAACACAGGTCCAATCAGCGACCAATGTACTCGAAGGTCCACCATGACCACCACGTACCTACCCGAGTAGTTCCGCAGCCTGTCCCTGACGTACCACGAAGGCGATACCTCGGCATTTGGCCTCATAGTCTCCACAATTGGAACCAGGCCCTCATCCGGCCTCCCATCTCCAATCGATTCGTACTCATCGGGCCTTGTGATCAATATCTCGATCATGGCCTTTCCATTCCGCCTCATCGTTTGGAGCTGGACCGCCTTCCTGAAGTCCAAGAAGTTCATCACGACATATCCCACCATAGGAATTTCACTCCAGTGCATCTCGTACATCAGAGACCCGCCAGGTGCATCCTCTTGAGTGTACCTTTGCCTCACAGAACTGAAACTCATGTCCCGTCCGATCCGCGTGTACCTAATGGCCACCAACCTGGTGCATTCCCTGAGGAGGATGCCATTCTCATCAAACATGATCATGAGCATAACCTCAACCTGCCCTATCGCCGGAATGAAGAATTTCCACGTCATTTCGGCATTCTCCATACCCGTGATCTCTCTCAGGAACCAGACGGCTTGGTCGACACTTACCCAATTTCCAGCCTCTCGTCCAGTCTCTTTCAGCACTTTCTCCTTGAATAACTCCGAGACTCTTTTCGAGTTAATGACCAAACCTTCAAAATCACACGTGAGCAGCTTCATCAACTCCTGGGCGGCCTCCCGCCCTGCGACCGTGGCCACGGTCTCGTCGTAGTTCGGAACGTACTCGCTCATCCTACTCTTTGAGGGGACCACAATCTGGCACGTGCTAGCCTCACCAGGCACAAGTCCAGCGGATCGCAGATCCGGATTGACTTCCTGCCTATCGGCAAGATAGTCCTTCTTTCCGTCCAGAACCACGAGATTGTACGTCATCTTGCTTGCCGCGTCACTCGGGCGGAATTTCCTGCTCGTGTCAATCTGGCGGCCGTTACAAACTTCCTTGAAGACCAAATAGTCCTTAAAAGTTGCAAAACGTCCAAACGGTCCTTAAAAATAAGGCCTATTTAGCTTTTAAGGACCATTTAGAGGTTTAAGGACTATTTGACTTTTAAGGCCTATTTGGATTTTATGTGTTTTTAGTGATTTTCTAGTGACAGCCTAAATCCTGTCTAAGCTCTAAATCCTACCTAGCCTATCAAACCAGCGCTGTCATGCACTCAAACCATAGCCCGGCGCAATTCAGCAAAAGCCGTGCTAAACGCACACATTTTTTCACCGACCACGCTTCTCAAGCTCATGCCTAACTACAATCAAATTCCTATAGAGCAGGTGCTCATGGCACGTCCTAGCCGACATCCTACGAAGCATGCGAAGATTGACCTTGACCCAGTCTTCGTCAATCCAGCAAGAGTCCCAGCCCAAGCTTCGCCTGGACGGACGTGTCTGCACATCCTCGATCAGATGAGTCAAGTAGTGAAACTTTGGCCGCACCTTGAAGTAGAGCTCGCGACGAACATTTGCTAGCTTAGCAAGCTTCATGTACGACGCCAGGAACGCACGGCCATACATCAAGGTCTGCTCCACCTCGGAATCAGAGAGGAAAAGGCCAGCCCGCATGACAGCTTCTTGAAGTTGATCTGCCAACCAGGCGCAAGCTGCAAGGCCTTCATATGGCTCTGGGGGCAGACGATCTGACAGCTCGCTGGCCACAAAGCGAATCATCACGCCAGTGTCTGCCGCGCTGGACTTGAACTCAGGGCAAGTGCCATCTTCCCAAGCGAGTCGGCTTTTGGATAGCCGCTTCAAGTGCATCTGCAGTCCGTGCTGGGCCTTGAAGTCATTCAGCCTGCGCTGCACTGCACTGAACCGCCGGGCCAAGTTGGGACCAGGCCAGAACTGCGACTTCAAGCAGATTTTCATCGCAGCACCTACAAGATCGCGAGCTACTCCTAAATGCCAGGTGTGCATCCAGTCGGTGCTGACCATGCGCAGACTGAAGCCATCCAGTAAGGAGAGGCACGGGCGCTCAGACCAGGGATCTGGCGCAGGCCGCGTGCGCCACGCAGCGGTCTCCGACAGGTCCATGTACACCAAACTCGGGTCTTGACGGCCCATCGACGCCAGGCACCGGAAGCAAACCTGCCAAGGCTGACACATGCTGATATAACACTGAACAACAAAGCGCCGAGCGCGCCTCCTCACAGCCTGGGAACCGCGTGAGGTTCAGCGACTGCGCCAAGTACTTGAGGTCGCCCTTGCAGGCCACCACGTGGAAGGTCCAAACCTCAGACACACCAGGATTGCAAATATATATGGGCGGCATGTACGCAGTCGATCAGCTGAGCGCTTCCCCGCAGACTTCGAGTCCTTTTGCCAGCCCGTCCAGGTCAGCCTTTACAGCCTGCAGCAAAGCTTGGAGCGTCTGGTTCACCTTCTCGTGGCTGCGGTACATGTTCACGGGGCAGGCGAACGCCAAGTTACGCGAGGCCTTCGAGTTGGTCCGCCATAGGCTGACATCGAGCATCCTGAGAAGCCAAATAGCAGACGAACGACACTCGAGCACTTTATCACAAATGACCTTAAGCGCAAGCCAGGGTGCCAGCTGAAGAGCATCCAGCTTTTGAAGTTGTGCGTGCCCTCGTCGCCCCAGAGGACTATAGGCACTGCGCGCGCCCACATATCGGGCTTGCTGCGCAAGCTGTGGTCTGGGAAGTCGAGCAAGGTGCGTGCCCAGTACTCAGGAAGGGCTGCCGCATCTATGCTGGTCTGCAGCAGGCCCAGGCCAAGAAGCTCTGTCAACAAAGCTGACGGCGCCAGGAACGGGAGGTGCCCAATCTGAAACTCATCCTGAGCGTCAACTATGGGAGCGTCCACATAGCTCAGCTTGACAGGCAAGCTCATGCCAGCCCGCATAACTTTGCGGTGAAATTCTCGTTCGCGAAGAGCACGAGTTGCGTGGCCAGAAAGCGTGGCCGAGGAGTACTCCTTACCTCAAGCAAAATCAAACACTGACCGACCTAGCTAGCCGACAGATAGCTATAGCACCTCCTACACCTACACACCGGCTATACGCCTATCCTAAATATCGTGCTAGACTGGGCTGCCAGGTTGCCGAGCTCGCAAGCCAAGCTGATTGTGGCATCGCCAGCAGCAGTGGAAGTGGTCAGCCTGGCACAGAGCTAGCAGGCGGACGCAAAGCGCACTCGATCAGGCCTTGTCTCCAGCTTCTGTTTGATCTGATCGAGCCTTCTAGAGCCGTAAGTACCTGCAGGATATCGAGGTCTGCACGGAGCGATATGATGGAGCACGCACGCGCCCTCGCCGATCAGCGCTTGCAGTTGCGCAGCTCTTTTCACCCCTATAGCTAGCTCCTATGCACCGGCACTACAGCGTGACCACTATGATGCCCCGTATATAGAGCGTGATCCTGGCGCGCAAATCTGTAGAGCGCCAGCCTAGATCTATATACACCTAACCTACATAGCGGGGAAGCTGCAGCGCGCGCAGCAGACTGGCCCAAGAAGCTTTGACACGCTCAAACTGCATGCGTTCCTTTGTGTTTCTTACACGGGCGGGCAAGCTGCATGAGCACGTTAACGAGTGAAACGCAGGTAGCGTCTCTTAAGCTCAGCCATGAGGCCCTTGGCCTTGCCCTTCACCAGCCGGAGGCTGTCAGCCTGCGCCAGCAAGAACGCGCGCGCGCTCTTAGACTTATATAGAAGCTAGACGCTGCCAGGCCACAGCCGAGGCAATCTCTGCGCAGATCGGGTTGATCTGCTCGAACGTGTCCAGGCCACTCAGCCTGCATGCGTGCGCACTCAACACCTAAGAAAAAAAGAGTGAGATAATTGCCACACACACACACATAAAAGTACACACGCACTTGCAAGCAGGCCAAGGGGCCGCTTCACCAGGTCCTTGAGGCTGGACTGGCTCGCCGTGAGCTGCTGGATGAGGTCCGCCGCGCCCTCCGACGGCATGTCCATGAGGATGCCGGCGACATCCTTCAGGTCCTTCTTGACCTCGGCACCTTAAAACAAAAACTAACTAGCTAGGCACCCTATTAGTTCCTACACGCCTATAGCTAGATAATGTTTGCTCCTACGCATATATAGCTGGCTAGCTATAGCCTACATGCCTAGCGCAGTCACGCGGCTGAACCTAGTGAGCTTCTCCTTCGGGGTCTTGAAGCTCAGCTCGCTTATGGGCCTCTTCTCAGCCTTGCCGCTCTGGGACTTGGCGGCAGCCAACCTCGGGCCTGCAGCAGGTGCCCCAGCAGGCGCAGCGCCTCAAGCTAGGCTATATCACGCATATATGACACGTTATCATCCGTATGTGTCTAGAGACTGCGCAGGTCATCACCCTGTCATACACTCCCAGGGAAATCCCAGGCGCGCCTACAGCAGCCGCCAGCGCCTCGTTGTAGGCATCGTGCGCGCAAGACGTCGCCAGAGAGGCTAGCCTGCTGGCCAGTAGGCGTGGCGCGGATCTGGCAGGGCTCGTCCTCCGTGAGCATGGCGCCCACCGCAGCAGCGCTGGGCCGCATGTTAACCCGCACCTGCTGCTCGGTCCTGAGACATGTAAAGGCGCAGACGCGCCGCAGCTGCGCACTGCATGCGCACTTCAGCCAAGGGACGCCGTGGCGGTGCAGTCGACCCGCGTCTGGTGCGACAGCACCCAGTAGCGGGTCTCTTCGAGGACGCCGGGGGCGTCCTCATCCTCGATGCCGCCGCCGCGGGCTATGATCGAGTCTACCTTGCGCCTAAGCTACATGGGCATAGACCTACAGACATCCAGCCTACATCCTACAGCGGACTATAAAAGTGCAGGCGTGCTTCTGGCTGAAGTTCCAGGGCGGAGACTTCATGTCCTTGACCGGAACCAAAGAGTACGCTTTGGTCCCGGTCAAGGACGACGACTTCGTGAGAGACATGGTGGCCTCCGCGGCTGACAGGTTCTCCCCCGAGGAAATCCAGGCCTGCAGCAGCTCCCGGCGGTCTTGCGCGCTGCCAGCTCACGCAATCTAGATGTTGAGCTTTAGGCCTTCGCTCCGCCCTGTGCCAGCTGCTGGAGGTTCGGGTACGACGCCAGGGTGCCGTTCACGAAGAGGCGCATCTGCACAGGGTGCGAAAAAATCTCTCGTCAGCAAAAATGCTATAAGGCCACTAAGCAAGGCGCCAGCCGCGCGTGCTCTTTCTTGTGCGTCACAGTGGTGGGGGCTTGCGCTGCAAGCGAGGGCAGAGCCGGGGGCTCTGAGAGCTTGGGAGTTGGCGGGGCCGGAGGGTCAGCCTTTGCAGGGGGCAGCGGCGAAGCAGGCGCCGGGTTCGCCCAGTCAGGCGTGGTCCCTTCCGGCTCTGCCTCCTGCTGGTCCGGCTGAGTCTCGGCCACTTCCTGCGCGTCGAGCTCGTCCTCTAACAGCTTGTCCAGGGCCAGCGTTTCCGCGTCTGAGAGCTCGGCCCCGTCTGTGAGGTCCACAGGGCCAGCAGGCGGCGCTGACGTATTGAAGGCTTCTGCCAACTTGCCTACTGCAGCAGCGCCCGCAGCAGCAGTCAGCACAGCAGGCGCTGCCTTCGGTGAGCTTGCGGAGGCAGCAGGAGCAGGTGCCTGAGTTGCAGGGACTGCTGGCTGACTGCCAGTAGCGGCAGGAGCAGTCTTCTCAGCTGCAGGGTCTGCAGCGCGACTGCCAGCCAGGCCCTGCAGCAAGGAGATGATGCCGTGAAGCTTGTCCACACCCACCTCCGACACGCTGGGCCCCAAGGTGAACCTGCATCGAAAAAAACAAAAAGGCACAAGTTGCGCAACTCCAAAATGCCAGCTGCTGGAGAGGAACTGGTCCAAGTTCTCCTGCGACTTTTTCCTCTGCAGACCCTGGCTGCCAGCAAGCCCTTGCAGCTGCTCCATGGCCATCTGCAAGGTTCCACAAGACCTGCAGTTTAGAAGCTCACCTACAAACGCGCCTACCTAGTCCTATATAGACCTACGCCTAACTCAGACAAGCATCGACAAGCTGAGCTGGGACTCCTGCTGGTGGTCAAGCTCCGGCTGCGAGTCAGGCAGCATCTTGACGTCTGCGCCTGCAGGCTGCTGGCACACCAGCTGTGTGTCATCAGCCTGGAAACCGGGACTGCAGGTGGCTTGGACTTCTTTGGCTTGCCGCCAGCAGCAGCCTTGGTAGCTGGCTCTTTGCGCTTGGGCGGGCGGCTTTGGCCTGCAGGGGCCGGCGGCTCAGCAGGCGCAGCATCTGCAGCCTTCTTGGCTGCAGCCGGCTTAGGCTTGGCCTTGGGGGCGCCGGAGCGCTGAGTCGAGTTCGCTGCTTTAGCTGGCTGGGCCTCAGCACCGTCGCCAACGATGCTGGCCGCCAGCTCCAGAACAGCCTCCGCGTCGTCCCTGCTGAGGTTCTCCTCCTGCATCAGCGCCAGGATGTCCTCCTCGTGGCCATCCGACGCGGCTTTAGCAGGGCAAGCTCGCTTGGGCGCCATGGCTTCTATATAGCTGAGCCTAGCTAGCCTAACCTACCGTGTGCTATAGGACACTACCAGCCAAAACCTACGAAAACCAAAGACTTCTGCATGCCAGACCATGGAAAATCAATTTCCCGGATTTCCCGTTTTTTAGGGCTCATTTACACGTTTTTAAGGCTCATTTACACGCAATTTCCCGGAATTTCCCGTCCAATTTTGGCAGACATTGCCAGAAGCGCTCTTTTGGACACGCGCAAGCTAGCCTATCTAGATCCTATAGCCTACCCCGTAGCCTAGGATCAGGCAGCTCGAAGGCCCAAGTGCCTCAGAGCTATCGGAAACTTCACGCCTCACAGATAACGCTGCAAGTAGGCGCAGGCCAAGTGGCAGGCGAAGGCTCTCCACAAAGTCTTCCTGAGCAGGGTCGTGTGCAGGGAGCGGCTCGGCACTCAAAACACATGTGGCTCAAGCAACTTGCCTCAAGTGTAAATCTTCACAGCCGGGCGTGCGACTGTTTTCACGGCACAGTCACGCCAGTCGATCCAGCCACAGCTGTACAGCGGCTCGCCCCGTAGCTACCCTACCTACCACGCGCGCCTAGCTAGCCCCTATACCTAGCCGACCTAGCCTAGCAGCCAGCCTACCCTACGCGGGACGGGTGCTTCACTCGAGGTGAGGGCCGGCCCCGGGCAGCCCGTGCCTTGCTGCCCGGTTGAGCCCCGTGAAGTACCCGTCCCACCACGCCTCCGCCAGCTGCCACGTCCTCTGCTCAGCCGTGCCAGGTGTCTGGGCCGCGCGCGCAGTCCAGTCGCAGGGCTTGCCCCCTTTTTGGGGCCGCCGGGGCGCGGCTGCGGCCCAGTGCGCTGCAGCGCAGCCTGGCCCTCAGAGCTTGCAGCCCAGCGCCGCCACGCCTCCTCCACCTCCTCTGGCGGCAGCGGCTGTCCGCCACCGTAGCCGCCTCCAGCACGCTGCCAGCTAGCGCTGCGTGGCGTGTGCACCTCTGCCTGGTGGCGTGCAGCTTCGCGAGCTTCAGCTGCTTCAGCGGCCCTGCGGGCTTCGGCAGCCTCAGTGGCCATGCGGGCCTCGGCAGCTTCAGCGGCCTTGCGCGCCTCTGCAGCTGCAGCGGCCATCTTGGCCTCGGCAGCTTCTGCAGACCGGCGGGCCTCCACGGCTTCCTGCAGGGCGCGAGCTTCGTCAGGGGAGACACCTCGTGGCTCT